TAGTTTGCAGACATATACATTACATTTCAATACGAAACAAAAAAGGGGTTTACCATATTTGGTATCTATAACTCTTACAGTTCCCGAGCTCAAATAGTTAGTCGCATTGCTTTGGCTGCTATCTAAAAAATCTATATTATGCAATTATATATATATGCATAGTTTACAGGGTATACGCAAACGTACGCTTGATTGCACAAGTGCAGCCAAACAGACAGAATTTGTTTGGGTTGCTAACGAATACGCGGCTGGGGTTTGTCTTGGGCACGTCCCTGGCCCCAGCCAAGGCCTCGAGCCAGACCTCAGCCCAGGCAGCGGTCGCTGCATGACTTTGCTGCAAGAGAAGAGAGAAAAACAAAGTATTTATTACACAAAACTTTCTTTGTGGCAGCGCCATAAAGTAACATTTGTTGTTTCGCTGTAGTTTTTAGTCATATCGACGCCCACCGGGGCTAAGGCAAGCGTTGCCGGAATCAATTAGCATTAAATCAAACAATTTTTAATGCCACACTTTGAGGGGATGCTTAGGAACACGCCCCTCCTCCGTCTCTATATAAAAACTGTGGCGATATTTCAAATGCATGGGACGTGCACAAGATAAGCCAGTAATATCTTCAGCAGCTCAGCTCAGTTCGGCGAGGCGTTGCCCACAAGTTCCTTGACTTTGGTTTTGGAATGGGCGTCTGTGCGACGAGTCAAGTTGAACGAACGTGGGCCCAACCACGGCCTCAGGGCAAGCCGGCGATTTAGATGCTTACATTGCGACACGGCTGCAACATCTTTAATAGAAATCTAACAGAAAGCCGAACATAAAGACCGAACATAAGCCCAAGTTAGTGCCTATTTGCTGAAGCTTTGCTTTTGATTTCGAACAGATTTTTATGAAAGGTTTCTATAGCAGACGCATAAAGTTGGACTTTACAAATTTATTAAATTGTGGCAGCTCAATATGTGAAGGAAAGAAATCAAAGCCAAAAGTGCAATGGGATGTTAGCTAACATTTAAAAAGGCAGCTATGAGTTGCAAGATGAATACATCAAGATGAATACAAGTTACATAACCGCACTCTTGTACTTTCTAAATAATATAATTGGGAATACCATTAATGTATAGACTATAGAATGGTTGAAGTGTTAAAGACTTTGTTATAAATTAAAAATTAGGATAACAACCAACAAACCGAAAACCAAACCAACAATTAAGCATTCAATCTATATAAATAGAAGAGTAAGTCCTAACAAATGGTAATTGGCTGGTTTGAATTCGTCAGCAGTTTTCAAGGCTTATTTGCCTATTAATATGTTTACTATAATATCAACTAATTACCAAATCAATTAACTATCATATAATGTCGAGATTTGTGCTGAAGAACTTGGTAGATTGTTGAGAGCAAAGTTTGCAATTATTTAAAAATTCAAGCAAACTAAATTTAAAAAAAATAAATAATTAAACCAAAATACCTATGAAATCCATTAAATATCCACAAACTATAATCTTACGTCAATTAAAACAATTAAGTCCTAAATTTTCCCCAAAATGTGAACCTTAATTAAAGCAAATAAAACAAATTGAAATGCCATTAAATCATATAAAATAATTGCGGAAAATTGTCGGCTTATTACGGCAGCGCCGCCCCGCCATAATTTGTTGCATAATAGCCATAAGCATTGGGCCAAATATGTGACAACAAGTGTTGGCCTGGCTAAGTACTTAATTTCGGTCTGTCAGACATGGCGTATGCGTAATGCTTGCGTACGTGCGTTAACTATCGAAATATCAAATTGCCGCATTTCATAAGCGCACCAAATGTAATTATTGTCGCTAGCTCTTGCCAACCAAAAATTACACTAGCCTATATGTGCCATGCACGGCTTCTATATCTGTCTTTTGGCCAAGTTGTGAAACAGTTTTGCGGTTTTGCTTTTTCTTGAGCAGCTGAAATAGAAAGTGATTGCTTGTTGGAGGCGCTGAAATTGGCAATTTTCTGTGCCGCGTGTGTGGGTTACGAGTCGCAACGAAACCCAATTCGCAAGTGCCCCTCCCCCTACCCCTACCCCTCCCAGCTGTCCCCCTCAATCTCGTGGACTCAAGTAGCGTTTAAATTAGTGTAGGCAAGCGCTGGAACTAATGACTGCTCTTGTCGTCGAAGTTGTCAAAGTTGTCGTTGTTGTTGTTGTCTTGATTTGGTGCATTGAACTTCGGAGACATGTCTAGATGTCCGGCTTTAGCCGTTGGGGAGTTGGCTGCCTAAAAAGGCACTTAATTAAAGTTTTACTTTCGTTATCCGTGAAAGTGTTGCATGCCACAGATTCAATTTAAAAAATTGTGCTACAGTTCCCCCTTGTTGTTGTTGTTGTTGTTTTTGTTGTTGTCTCTGCTCGGTTAATTTAATAGCCCGGCGGCAACATTTTCATTTTGGCCAGACACTTTTACCCGGCCAGCTACAAATTCAATTTTCGTATCAATAATAGCGCAAAAATATAAAACTCGAATAACAAGTGGAAAAATATTTGTGCAAAAGGAAAGTGAAAATGCGAGCGCACAATCTATATAAGTATTTATGGGCCGTGTTTGCTTTTTGTTTTTTGGTTTTGGTTTTGAAGGAAGCGCTAATTATATCAAAGAAAGTGAAACAAATAGTATTTGTTTTAGTTATCAATCAGCGTGTTTCGGCATTTGCCATGCCAGCTTAGCGCGCCAAGGTGAAAGTAAAAACTGTGCCAAAAACTTAATCGGAGGGGAGTACAACAACTACAACAACAAAAAACAGAAACCCACAAAAAAAAACCGCTTAGCAATTGGGTTAAGCTCAATAACTAAACGTGTTTTTGTTTTCTTTGTTGGTCGTGTGAATTATGCGCAGCGCCATAAACTCCAAAATATTATTAAACTGGTTGTCTGCCTGCAGCAAGACCTTAGACTTCCCCCCGAGTGTGTGTGTGGCATGCCACAAGCATCGCGCTAATATGTCAGCCAAACATTCGCAAACATTTTTCTGCCCGTCTGCCACACACATATGCACTTGACACCTCTCCGGCTTCGGAGTTGCAGCCACATAAATCACCGCAGCCGCAGCGCAAAAGAAAGTAACAAGTGCTCAGATTTATAATACTCTTCTAGCTGTAAGGCTCTTAGCTTGTGCATATTGAATGCTTGGCGGGGGGGAGGGGCGGCACAGTCGCAGATGCGCCACACGCATTGAGAATTGAGTTCAAGTGAGTTCGAGTGAGTCGAAGCCAGGCAGAAGATCAGCAGGTGTCAATTTCGTTAGACATGAGTCCCGAAAAAGAAAGCACTTCAAATACCAGAATAAAAGCGTAAAGTGTGAATGTGATGAAAGCCAACTGTCGAATGTGTTGAATGTCTTAAATCATTTTCTCCAAATTCCAAATGAAGTTCATTTTTGTTTCGACAACAACCTGTTATGGGCAGGTCTAACAATCTATCTTTTAATAAGTGTTAATAATTGCCTGCATTTCTCTTTCAGTTCTCGCAATGTTCTGTGAGATAATTTAATTGTGGTTCAGAAATAAATGTTTGTCAATTATAAACGGAACTATTCGAGCAGATCAACTTAATATTTCTAAGGGAACTCTTAATTGTATAGTAACTGAATAACTTGTTATACCCTGAGCCCATTAAAAATGGGTATTTGTGCAAATGTATGTAACAGGCAGAAGGAAGCATCTCCGACCCCATAAAGTATATATATTCTTGATCAGCATCAATAGCCGAGTCGATCTAGACATGTCCGTCCGTCTGTCCGTCTGTATGAACGCAAGGATCTCAGAACCTATAAGAGCTAGAGACTTGAAACTTTTAGACTTTTAGCTGTAGGTCCTCTTAGTCCCCGCGCAGATCGAGTTTGTTTCCGATATTCGATAACTTTGCCCGTTTCAAAGTAATCGATCAAAATCGATATCGAGTTCGCAATAAATGTTATTTATTTAAATCCGATTGTAGAGTATTAGTGACCCTTATAATAATACTCTACAATCAACTGTTCCTTAGTCTTGCATATATCTAAAGCCTCGTTCCCTCGACCATTCTATCTTTATGCTCATTCTGCTAGAACTGTCTAACTCAACACCCAACCACACTTTGTGTAAAGTCTTAACAGCTATTTGGCAATATGAATTCATAGATTTATTCGCTCAGACAAGCGAATCCCCCCATTGATAGATATATATTCAAACCCAGCCCACAAGTAGCTCAGCTGCATGAAAATTCATATATTTTCCAGCTTTAAAAAAAAAACAACCACTGCGAATGAAGTTGGCATCTTTTCAACGCTTCACGTAGCAATTTGTGAAATTCTCGTCTTGCGTAGAGATCTTCAAAGTTTGAGTTGCCTGTGCAATTGTGCGCGCACTGCCTGAAGGGGGGGAGGCGTAGCCAGGGCGGGCGGGGTTGGGGCGCACTGTAATAAGTAATATGAGTTTACAACTGTGACAGATGTTCGTATGACTCGGGCGAGACATGTTTGTTTGGGGCAGCCTTGGCTTGGAAAAGGCAACCAGTAATTTCAGATGTTGCCAGGTTCAGATAGATGTACGCCCCGAAAACAAATACAATGCGAGAGTGAAAAGAATACAAAAGACTCAAGACACAAACTTGACATCGAAAATAAATGATGCCTGCCAGCCGAGGCTGAGATCTGAAACTTTTGACTGCGACTGAAACTGAAATCTCTCTCAATGCTGGTTTCGGATTTCTAAGAAATGCAAATGTGCATAATATAGAGGAATCCACATGACAATGACAAAGACAAAGCACAGGGCATGTGTGTAAATGTGTGCGTGTCTCTGTGTGTGTGTGTTTGTTGGCAGGTGGTGCAATTGTAGCGTACCTGAAAAGTGAAACCCGGCGTCGCTTTTGTTTTGGCAGCGGCTGCAACAGATTCTTTTCACTGCGATAATAATTAGCGCAATTGAAGCTTTGGCATTTTAAGAATTTCACCAGCATTCTCTTACCTTCCTCCTCTTTCTCTCTTCCCGCAGCTGCCCAGCACGATGGCATCTCGCAGATCTCGCCCAAGTCCAGCAGCCAGCAGTCGGAGGCGCATTTGAGCATTGAGAGCACCATGGCCGATACGAATACGATCTCGGACAGCCGTCGCTCGGCGCCGCTGGAGAATGAGACGCGTGCCCGCGTGGAACGCTCCGCCTCGCCCATACTGCACGAGCCGCAGCATCAGCAGCTGCAGCAGCAGCAGCTGCTGCAGCATCCGGGCCCCAACGACATCGACTATGGCAAGGACAGCGAGAAGGATGTCTCCGCCGGACGCTACTTTCACTACAACATCAAGCCCACGGGCACCTACGATCAGCAGGAGGAGCAGCAGCAGCCGGAGCGCACGCAGCGCATCAGAGCGGGCAAGACCTTAGCTGGCAGCAGCAGCGGCAGCTCCAGCAGCTCCTACGGCAGCTCCAGCACCGAGCAGCCTTTTTTAGTGCAGGGGGGCCTGCGACCGCCTACGTCGGGGTCCCCTATCAGCCCGAGTCCGAGCAGTACTGTCATCTCGAGGGCGAGTGCGACCCAGGCGCCGCATAATGCCCGCCAGAATGGCAATCCGGACATCCAGGACATCATCACGGGCATTGTGAAGCTCCTGAACGGCAATGTCAATGTGCACGCCAATACGCAGGGCGTGCGCCGTCCCTCGGCGAGCCGGATCAACAATCGCGGACCGCCGCGCATATCCGAGGTGCAGCCGCTGCCCATGGACTATGAGGCACAGAAGCCGGGCACATCCATGCGACCGCCACCGTATCCCTTTGACCGACCCGACCGACCATTTATTACCGGCGTGCCCATTCCGGAACAGATTGTGCCCGTTCGGCCGGGCTTTGTGAGCAATCGGCCGCCCTGGTACCGCAACAAGCCACGCCCACCAATAACAACAAGCGTGAACGGCAGCCGACGCCCCTTGCCGCAATACCAGCCGCTGCCGGCGCCACAGCAGCTGCCCGTGCGGCCAACTGAACCGGAGCCAGTGCAGCAGGAGGACTCGAAGCCGGCACAGCCGGAAGCGGAGCCAGCCGTCGATTCCCTGGATGGTGTGCAGCCCACAGACACCACCTACGACTCGGAGTTCTCCAACGAGGATGCCAATGCACAGTACATCGAAGTCTCCGACCAGGACACCGAACAGGAGACAGCTGGCGGCGAGCTTGAGGATGAACTGCAGCCGCCACCGGAACCGTTGCCCACAACGCCGACCAAGGAGCATGCGACCAAAAAGAAGCACAAACCGAAGCCCAGCAGCGAGAAGAAGAAGCCACAGGACGAGCACGAGGGCTACACAACCATCATTGAGACAAGCTCCGTGGTGAACACCGTCATGGGCATGTCCTCCTCCCGCTATGTGCCCATGTCCATGGAGAGTGGCGAGGGTCCTAGCCACGATCTGGATCCCTCCACCGAGGAGGTCATCTTCATGACAGCCAATCGCACGCCCGGACTGGAGGTCAGCACCTCATCGACCACGAGCAGCATTCAGACCATGCCGCTGAGCGAGCTCTCCTCTGCGGACGTCATTGCGCCCACGTCCAAGACACCCATGACCACTTCTACCACCACCACAACCACTAGTACCAGCTCCACCACCACCTCTTCTACCACCTCGACCACCACCTCGACTACCACCTCGACTACCACCACTGAAAAAGCGCCCACTGCCAATGCCCCGACGTCCGCTCCCGCCGCTTCCTACCATCCCCGACCCGGCATTGTGCTGGATGATCCCGAATTCAAGCCAGGCGGACGGCCGCGTCCCGCTCAGCGTCCGGCTGCACCACAGCAGCCCATACAGCCGACACGGCAGCATCTGCCGCCTGGCTATGGCGAAATCTTTGACGTGACGCTGTCGGCCATACAAGGACCCGGTCCCAAGGGCAGCGGCTCCCAGCAGACGATCAACATCAAGCCTTATGGATCCTATGGAGCGGGCGCTGGTGGAGCCGGGAGCGGCGCACAGGCGGACATCATTGTGTCGGCATCAGGTGACGAAGGCTTCGTCTCGATCGATGGCAAACGCACTTACATCAATCTATTTGGTGATCCCACAGATCCGCCAGCGGGCGCCACAACGCCGGCGACACGACTACCCCAACTCCCGGGCGCGGCAACAGGCAGTGGTGGTGCGAGTGGTGGTGGTGCGAGCAGTGGTGGTGCGAGCGGTGCTGCCGCAGCTATACCCAATCACGGCGTCACGCAAAGCAGCGGCGGTTACGTCGTGCCCGAAACGGAAGTCGTGGAACTGCAGCCACAGGCGGGCACCAGCCCGGGACATGGCCACGGACAGACGCCGGGTAAGCCAGCGGCTGTGTCCACAACGCATGCGGGCCCCACGCGACCACACTACCGCCAGCGACCGACACCGCCGCCGGTGCGCATCGACACCTGCATTGTGGGCGACGATTCCACCTGTGATCAGGCGCAGCACGAGCGTTGCAAAACGGACAACGGCGTGTCCAGCTGCCATTGTAGACCAGGTGAGTGAAGGCAGTAGATTGGTTTACTCTTAGAGGCTGCTCCTTTTAATCCTTTGGTTATGGAATACCCTTTTACCACATAGGAAATCTTAGTCTTTTAAAGATCGTAGACATTTTCTAAGATATTTTCCTCTCCACTTTTAGGCTACTCGCGTCGCAAGCATCGCGAGCCTTGCCGCCGCGTGATCTCCTTCCATCTGGGCATGCGCGTGGATCGCATCTATGAGCATCGCATCGTCTGGGACAACAAGCTCTTGGATCTCAACAGCGAACCATATGGACAACTCAGCTACGAATCCGTCCGCGCGGTAAGTAGCAATAAAATGCATCTCCATAAAAATCGAATTAATCGCAAACCTTACACTCTGTAGCTGGACTCGGCCATGTCAATGACACCCTATTCGGATGAGTTTATGGAGGCCAAGGTCAACAATATCTATCGCGGGGATCCCAATTTGGGCGGCAGTGGCGTCTACGTGAATCTGACTCTTAAAGTGAGTAGAAAGCAGGCGAACTTTGAACTTTAACTAACTCGCCTTTATTTCAGCTGGATGAGAGCGTGGAAACACTGCGTCCCAATCTGCGCAGCGATGTGCAGAAGCATCTCCTGGGCGTACTGCATCGTCGCAACAACAACATTGGCAACTCGGTGCTGTTTGTGAGCTCACCGGAGGGCGCCGTCTCGGCGCTGCACGATTTGGATGAATGTCAATCCGCGGAGCTGAACGATTGCCACGAGAGTGCCACGTGCAGCAACAGCTGGGGCAGCTTCCAGTGCGCCTGCGAGTCGGGTCTGCGCGATCCCTGGGCCGATCAGCCGCAGCGTGCGGGTCGCGAGTGCCAGGCGTGTCCTGATGCGTATTGCAATAATCGCGGCATCTGCAGCTACAACGAGGAGGGAGCCCAGACATGTGCCTGCGACTCCAGTCACTATGGCGCTCAGTGCGAGATCGATGGCGAGGTACTGGGCGTGGCCATAGGCGCCTCCGTGGCAGCTGTGATCATCATAGTGCTGACACTGGTGTGCCTCATCATGTGGTCACGTCGCTGGCAACGCGAGCAGAAGAATGCCATGGGCTCGCCCGTGTTTGGCTACATGAATACAGCTCCACTGAAGTCGGCGGGCTTGCCGCAAGCGGGCTACCAGGTGACGCTGGAGGATCGCATGCGCTGGGCACAGATAGCCGATGTTATGGCACAAACGAATCATTACGGGGTGAGTTCTCTTTGGAGGCCAACTGTATTGTAACCATGCCTAATTCTTTGCTTGCCAGGCGGAACCCATTGGACCGACACGGCCTTCGTCGGCCATGTTTGCGTACCCGAATCTGGGTGCCATTGGCATGGGCACCATAGGAGGCATGTCGATGCAGAGCACCATGCAAATGCATCCAAGCGCCAACATGGCGCCGCCAGTGCCATTGCCCAGGTAAATATATACGCGGACGTTGTAAAGGTATATTGCTAACTCCTCTCACTTTTACCAGAAGACTCGGCCTGGGTGCGCGTGCGAATGGCATGCGCACACTGGAGAACTCCAGCTCCAGTGAGGAGGAGGATCGCGCCGATCTGCTGGGTCGCAACTTTCAGGTGCCACGCCCAAAGAGCCGCAGCAATGGCAGCATAGCGGTAGGTCTACAAACTCCAGCAGCAATGCCAGCCTTGACTCAAAAGTCTTTTTTTTTTAATTACCGCAGAACCAGTCGGGCATCTACTATGATGTGGACTATGAGCCCTCGGGCAATGGCATTGGCAACACCAGCGTCGATCATCTCTATGGCTCACAGAATCAGTCGGTGACGCACTCGTCGGTCAACAATCATATACCCGGACCGCAGGGCATACCCATGAGCACTTACACCTCCGGCCGTGCGCCCAGCAGTTACTACATGAAGTGAGCCCCTCACCCTGCCTAGCCCCGCCCAGCACCCGTCCTAGTTTTACACAGAGCCTGTAAATATGCAATTTAGCTGTAGATTAGTTTAGTTCAACCGCCTAAAACACTTTTCCACTGCGGTCCACAACGGGGAAAAGTTTCCGACTGCAGCTGAGACGCGTTTTTGTGCAATCAGCAAGTAGAAGTAGAAGTAGAAGACTTAGATTTTAGGCATCACACAGTTACATATAGTTAAATGCAATGTTAACGATCACTAATCATTAATTTTAATATTAAATGTTTAAATTATTCTGTCCCTAGACGTAAGTGCAGTTCAATTAAAGCCTAGCCGAAAGTCAATTAAAAAAAACGAGCATTAGTATTTACCAATCAATCGAATTATGTACTTAAGCTTAAAAGTGTGAATGTAAATATGAATCAATAAAGATATTAATGTAAAGTAAATTTGTTGATGGCATTTTATGCTTCATTCAAATAAGGGTTATAATCTATGGAAAAAGCCAACTCGAAAAGCCATTATTTAAACAAATTTATGAAGTTCAATATTTAAGTAAAAATAATAATATTCAAATTCCCTCAAAACAATGCTCAGCTTTAGATTATTCAGATTTCAAAAGTAACCGCCAAACTCTCAATGCTTTCAAAACTGTGCTGCTAACACAGACAGCTCTCTCGTTTTGGCGCTTTGTTTTTAGTCGAACTGCCTATGCGGTGCTATTGCTCAAGTGTAAGGGAGATAGCTACATAGCACGTTTAATGCCAGTGTTGAACAGGCGCATGAGTGTAGCTCACACATTGACTTGAGCGCGCTTTTTGAACATGTGTTATTTTTATTGCATTGCAAAATGATTTGCAATCTTCATCTGTTGACATTTGAATTATCTAACAAATTGCTATTTTCCTTATGCTGACTCATCAATACAAACCAATAATAAGCATGCAGAAAGCCAGCTAGGGCTTATTTATGGTCATTTTCACTTTTGTTTGTGAAAACAAAAAAAACGAGACTTGATGATTTATGAGTGCTGCCGCCCCAACACGGTAGTTGCTTTGGTTCACACGCATAAATAAATTAAATTTATTAGAAAAAGAAAAACTGAACAAATTTTCGTGTGTTCCGTTTGCGTGCGACGTCGCTGGGTCGCTCGTTTAAGACCGAAAGTGGAACTGCGGCATCGCAGCTTATGCAACCAGCTGAAGTGCTGGTGGTAACTTTTAACTGGCCGGGTCGTAGGCACTGAGCGCGTGAATACGCCCCTTGACCCCGACAAATATGAAGGCATGTACCAATTTTAATGATGTGCACTTAGCACAGTCTCTGCTAGCTTAGCAGGCGGGCGGGCGGACAGACGGACGGACAGACGGACAGCCTTTCGACAGATCAGAAAAAATAACAAAAAACCCATCTATCTATCAACTCGTACGCTGCAAATGCCGTGTATTAGCCGGCTAATGGGTATGTTTTATGATGCGTGTGAGGTTCAATGCCGACTTAATTAATCGACACCTTTGTTGTCGATGATTTTTTGGATTTTTTTTATTTTTAAGTTAAAACCGCTTAGCGCCAGCAATTGAAAGTCGATAAGGTCGAGACGTTAATAGCGCCTATTTCATAATTCGACAACGTTGAATCGAAAAGCCACAAAAATATTTTGTAGTGCGCAGATTTTGAAGATGATTTTATTAGATTGTTTCGCGCAGATATTGACCCAAATGTGATACAATTTCGATTTAATCGATTTATTTCTTTCTTCTTTTTTTTTGTGTTTTTGCCATGACGATGCAATCTTTTGCGTGGCCAATTGCGACAACCGAAACAATAACAGGGCGGGGGCGTGCCCGGCTGCAATATAACGCAGCTCACGTAAACGTGCGGCTCGTGCTGTTGGCCATATAACGAAATAGACATCAAATGCGCGTAAATAGCAGAGCGATGGCAAATAATATCAAGTACTTGAATTGATGCTCCGCATTGGCGACGATTTGCCAAATTGGCATATTATGTCACCCGCAAGTCAGCCGCGTGGCCTTCAGCAGGAGCCAGCCAATGTGCACTGGGTCAATAGACATCATCATCATGACTGGCGCGTTATTGTACAGCTGAGAATTGCAACAAGGCGTCGTTAAAGCCGTAAACACATTTCGCACACCCGCACCCGCAACCGCACCCCTTCAGATGCCTCTGCGTGTGTTCCAGCTGCAGTGTTGGTAAGTGCCTCCTCTTGGCAAGCGACAATGACAATGGTCGCATTCGAGTTGTTGTTGTTGCTGCTGCTGCTGCCACAAAAGGCAGCCGCAGGGCAATTGGCTGGCAGGTGTTGCAAGCCATAATTCATAGTTGGCTGCTCAGTTCCTCGTGCTCGTGACATGCAACATGACTAACAGCCCTGCCGGTGGGCGATCGCGGTTGCCATTTGTCATAATTGGACGCGCGTGGAAGATGCGCTCCCAACTTCCTTGTTGGCTGCCTGTCAATGGGTGGCAAATGACTGGAGCTGACAAAAAGTTGGCCAAACAAAGCGCACACAACACACATTTTTTTGTGTGCCACAGCCTGAAACAACAACAAGTAGATACTGCAGGCACAGTGGTAGGTTAGCGCTATACATTTGATATACTTCCACTTTCTTTCAGTCCTTTTTCAATTTCAATATATTTCAAGTGTGTCCGCATATTGACGAAATCATTTTGGGCAAAAATTAGCGTAGCCGGATCCTTAAATTTCGACAGTTAATTGGCATATTAAACACAATTTGCTAAGCAGCCTAAAAACTGTCTGGCAGCATTTAAAATCTCATAAAAGCCTGAGCACGTCTGAGCGCATTATATAAAAGATCTGATGGGAATTTAAGCTAATTGGCGTGGAAAAACTAAGCAAATGAAAAGTTGGCTTGCGGTCTGCATGTGAAGACCTTCAAGGCGATAAGCATCTGTAAAGCGAACCACTGTGCAGCGTCTTTTTGCCTTTTGGTTGTTACAAGCGGAACAACAGTTGAAAGCAATAAAACTTGCACAAAAAAATCACAAAAAGGCGGCGCACGACAAAATGCACGCAAATGTTGCAGTTGCAACACATACACATACACATACACAGACACGGAGATAGACAAATAAATGCCATAAAGAAACGCTGAATGAATTAACATACTTGTTGATGAGCCGAACCACACACAGGCTGGAAGATTCGCACGCACATAAAATAACTTAATTTACATTGGAGCTGCTGCTAGTCGCCGCCTCCGCCTCCGCCTCCTCGCAGGCTGTTGGAGTACTTAGCCAGACAATTGTACGGACAGCATTCAATCAGACAGCGCCAACTACTTGGCCAGCTCAATCGGAGTGCGCCATGTGAAAGTCTTGGGCTGACGTAACGCGGCTGCATCTTCAGCAAAGGCAAAAGCAGCGACACCTGTTGTTCGTGTGTGTATGTTAGTCGCGGGCCAGCCCGATTGCGCAATGGCCAATTGTGTTTCGGCGGCAGGAAGATGGCGCCCAAACTTCCGCTTTGTGCCCAGAGCCTGGGCCAGCGTCTGCGGTTCGTAGGCGTCCATTGCCTATTGCCAAACGTTGTTTAATTAGCAATATTTGTCAAATGGTTGCAATAAAAAATATTGCCGTTGCAGTCTCGTTTCAGGTGTCTTCATCACTCTCTGAGCCGCTTAGCCATGAGGAAATCTGCGCGCGCAGCTGCTGCAGTCACATGACCAGGAGGAGCGCAACGCTGGCGACGCTACGCAAATTGGAATGTGAGACCTCTGACAGTGCGAAGCTTGGCTTGGCTTCGTTTGCTTTTGCCCGGTTGCGTAATGCCCGCCTGGAGCCTGTGGGTAGATCTGAGCCACTAAGCGACTGAGCCGGTTTCGTGTGCTGCACAACTCTGCATCTGTTGCAGGACAGCGCCTCGATGGGCATGCCAAAGCGTTTTAATCATTAGCTTAGCCCGTTCTGGGTGTGCGTGCTTGTGTGCTGCCATCTCGACCTCTTCTGCTTTATGGCCAAGATTACCGCAGTCATGATTGCAACAGCGCCAAGTGCTTGTAGCTGCCATAAATAACTGTTAATAATGTGAGTCTATCTGTGCAGCCAGTACCTGGTATGATCCGCATAACAAGCTGTTAACCTGTTCCAGCGTTGTGGTCCGGTCGACCTTGGCGCACAAACGCACCTTTCTGAAGATTCGCAGATCTTATGGATTTCGATTTCATTTACCACTTAATGCCAACAAGAAGTCATGTAAGTTGACCACCTGCGGCGGACGCTTCTCTAGCTTCAATTAAATCTCCGGCTTACAATGCGCGCACCTGAGCAATTAATGCTGCATTTAATTGAAATTGCGCTGACAAAACGTCGCACCCAATTGGCTGCGGCCCGTCTGGAACGGCGGGGAATGATGCAACCGGTCAGCGGGCAATCTGGTGAACTGCTCAAGAAATCTGTTTTGGGGCCTGCTGCTTGCTGCAGCAATCGCCTTTTATTTCATTTACGCTCTATGTGGGTCAACTGCAAGAGTGGTAACAATAACATTACCGTCAACACTTGAGCCGAGCGCACCTGCAGCTTCAGCTACAGCTACAGCTGGGCACCGGCTGGTGATGCGCGACCATGTAACGAATTGGAGCAACCGAGTGCGCCGCGAGCCGAGCAAGCAATAAAAGCAATTACAGGCGCGATATGTCAAAGACGCTTACAATTGACGATGACGCTGCAGGAAGAGTTTTTAAGAGGCTCAAAGCGGAATTTCACATTGGGATTAGTGACCATTAAGCGCCTGATTGAAGGCCAAAAAGCGTGTTTGCTTTGGTGTAATTGTTATGTTGCAACATTCCAGGTGAATGTGTTGCCAGGCCTATACAATCGAAGTCTACAAGTGATTGGAGAAGGCTAAATAACCAGAATTAGTGTCCTTTAAATCTAGTTTTTAGTTAGAATTTACTTAACAACTTAAATGTAATTTATATTAAGAGAAAGTTGTATGAATTGGAGTCCTTGGACATGGAGATCGCTGGGACAGCATGGCTTGACACGTCTTCCTGTCGCCTTCTGCTGCTGCAATAGCATGAGTCTGTTGTCCAGAGACCTTGGGATAACATGGGCCTTGTAACTTACTCTCTAGGAACGGACCTCCTAGCGTTTTTCCCAAATTGAAAAAGTCGTAATGAAATACTGCTAACTGTAATGAAAAACTAGTTATTTATAATGTACATCTTAATATAGACGTTTACACTGGCTTCATGTCCCATTTTCCCATCGGCTGTAATGTATATAAATGTTTTTATTTATTGACCATTTGTGTTTATACAAGTCCTTCAGCGCATGCAGGCGGTCATTAAAAAACTTGTTCCACTTCATATGCCAAACGTTGGCCATGCATAACCTAAATAAACGTCGAGATCAATGAGAAGATGCCATTAATTATGCAACCGGCAGGGACTCCAGCAACGGCGAAAGGTGTTTACGGCGCCTGCAGCGCCTGCGTCCACGACATCTTCGCGCCAAAGAAACTGAAAATGAAACCAACATCAAAACCAAAACACCAAAAAAAAAAAAAAGAAAAGAAAACAAAACCAAAAGTTGATCCACAAGTCGCTGCATTGTTGTTGGCGAACGTTGCAGGAATTTCAATTTCAATTTCATTTCATTTCGTTTGTAGAAGCGCAATCGAGTCTGAGACCGAAACAAAACCAAGTCAAGTGGACACACTGCACATGCACAGGCCCGGGACTGCGACTGGGATTGGAACTGGGCCTGGTACTGGGCCTGTGTCTGAGCCGAGTTACGCTTTGGCTCTCATTGTTGCTGACGTTGCACATTCTTCATTATTTTCGGTTTCATTTTCCTTGATTTGCGCTGTGTATTTTTACCTAATTTCAAGTTTTGGTTTTTTTCTCCATTTCATTTCGTTTCTTTTCTTTTATTTTTGTTGTAAATGGGCTTAACATGTCGCAGCTGTTGGCGTTGCCACTGTTGTGTCTTCGCTGTCTGTTGTGCACTTCTTTTCTTTACTTTTTGCGTTGAAGGCCGCAACTGCAATTTCATGCAGCTCCCCCGCCTCCTGCCGCTGCTCCTTCTGTGCTTTTCGGTTGTGATGTAACCACTGCTGCTGCTTGTTTTTATTGTGCACGCTGTTGATTTTGTGGACACTGTCAATTACAATTTTTGCATATTATTTATGAGATTTCCAATTGGATGGCAACACAACACTGCACATAGACACACCCGATCTGGCCACACCTAGTTTTTGCCAAAAAGCTATTAGTGATGCGCGACCACACTTAGAATGCATTTTCACAAGTTTTAATTACAATTAATATTCGTGTATTGAAAAGCAAAGGGTCAAATATGCAGACAGTAGCTGCCCGGCAGAAGCCAACTTCTTGGTAAGTGTTAATTGCGCATTTATTAAACTTATAATGGCCATTTCTGTTGTTATGTTTGGGGGTCCGTCATAAAACGCGCACCTTATTACCATGCTAAAAAATGTTAAATGGCATTTAGTGCTAGACAACGATTGGTGGCCCCCAGATCCACTGAAGCGGAGCACCAGCACCAACAAAAGAGTTGTTAGTGTTACTGTTACTGTTATTGCCTTCGTCATCGCTTTGCGTCTTCATGCTGCGTCCCGTTGCGAAGGTCGTTTGCTTTTTGTTTACACAAATGCCTGTCGGCGCTTTGACTCTTTTTGGCGAATTGCAGGCCAAACCCGAACTGTGCTAATTGTTTGCCACTCAAGTTCAGTTAGCCAAGTTAAACATGTCGTATAAAATGCACGCACGTAGCCTCTTAACCAATAACTGTAGCAGGCAGCGACGCCCACAGCCCCATTTGACCTTATGAAGTATTGGCCCGCACGCAATTAGCAGCTTGGACATCATTATTAACAACATAATTAGCTGTCAAGCTGTGGGGCAGTCGTCCGTCGATAGTCGGTCAATCAGTGGACGCGTCGACACATTCTAGCTGTGGGGCACACGCAATCACATTCGCGCTTGAGATCAACCAAATCTCCTACGCGCACTTCACCTCGAAGACCATGAGGCAAAAATTTGAAGATTGCGACTGCGGCGACGGCTACGGCTGCTGCGTCTGATTTACCTTGGGAAAATCCGAGCAGTCATCGTCAGGCCGAGTCCAATTCATCATTTAGTTGGGGTCGTCACACAACGAAAGACAAAACAAACGGCAACGCTGAGCGCTCTCACGGAGCCCCAAGTGCCGCTTTACTCTCACTCTCGTTGGGCTCTTTCGCTTTCGTTGACGCTGGCAGCGACGCTGGCGTCGTTGTCGGCGTTGGCGTAGGTATTGGCAGTTGCGTGCATTTTGCACATTGGGCGACAAGCGAGCGCTTTCAGCCGAGACTAAAGCTCAAACTGAAGCTGTGACCAAAAGCTTTGTGGCAGCAGCAGCGGCAGCGGCTCGACCGTGTCCCCACACACACACACAGACATGCATACATGCAGATAGGCACAGCAACATACCAAAGAGTCGCTGCTGGCGTCCGCTGCTGCGATCGCCGGGCGCTTGTTGTTGCTTTTTTGGGCAAAATTGTTGCTGTTTTTGCCGCTGCGGCGTCGACGTCGCTGCGTTTCTTTGGCGCTTCGCATTCAAAATATAAATAGATGTGCATGTAGGGAAATGCGAATAGTGTTCATAGAAGACCTCAGCGGAGGCACATTTCAGCTCTTTTGTTTTAACGCGCTGTTGGTGGTACAGGGATTCCAAGCATGAGATCCCTAAATCTGTTGGTTAGTGTCGCGCTACATCGCATAAGCAATAAATCTTAACAGTTAAAAGTGTTCATAAGTTCAAAAGTCCTAAAAAAAAGTGAATTGCAGTGTGTAAAAATAAAATTAAAAAAAATTAAAAAAAAAATACGTTAATTCAAAATTTTTGCGAAAAAAAAGTGATCTTAACTTGATGAAACGTTGGCTTGGAAAGTTTTTAATCGATTATCTGCGCTTCTCTGCCGCCCACAGCTACTCAGCGCCAGCTGCGCGCTCATCCTTAGCATAGCCTACGCACATCCGCCCGAGGGTGTGTGGAAAAAGAAGCTTACGTGGAAGGAGGATTGGGTGCAGGTGTGGAAGACAGTGAAAAAAGAGGCATGGGAAACCAAATGGAAAAAGGTTTCGGTGCCAATATGGAAGGAGGTTCAGGTAAGCAGGCGGAGCCAGGCAAAAAGGATCCATGTTAAAAAAAAGTCGCGTACATGCTATAGGTGCCCGTTTGGAAAGAGGAACAAGTGCCCGACTGGAAAATAGTGAAGAAGCCCAAAATTGAGGAACGCGAAGTGCCCGCTTGGAAGGACATCAAAGTGCCCGAGTGGAAGAAGATAACGAAACCCATTTGGGTGCCCACGAAAGTGGCCGTTTGGAAGGAAATCAAGGTGCCCGTCTGGAAGGAAATCCAAGTGCCGTTCTGGAAAGAAATCCAGGTGCCAGTGTGGAAGGAAGTACAGGTTGCAGACTGGAAGCAAATGTTTGAGCCCCAATGGGTAAGAAATAAGCAATTAAATGGCATAGCAATGCCAAACTTAATCCAAACAACAATCCTGCTAGGTGAAAATGGGCATACCTGGCGAAAAGTTCCTGGGCAAAGATCACGAGGGTTGGGAATACACCAGTCACGATCTGTGGCGCAAGAAGCTCATCTGGAAGCCAGTGTGGAAGAAAGTGTGGCGCACTGAAAAGAAACAGGAATGGCGCACCGAGAAGAAGGAGGAATGGCGCACCGAAAAGGTGCAGGAATGGAAAACCGAGAAAGTGCAAGAGTGGAAGCAGGACAAGAAACTCGAGTGGAAGGATGAATGGATACAGGTGTGGAAGAACTCAAAGAAGCAAATCTGGATCAAGGAGAAGCGCGAAACATGGGTAGAGGAGAAGGTACAGATCTGGCGCACCGAAAAGAAACAAGTCTGGGCCACCGAAAAGAAGCAGGCGTGGAAGGATGAATGGCAATCGGTGAAGGTGCCCGTCTGGAAGGAGGTCAAGGTTCAAGAATGGAAAAAGGTCTGGAAGCCAGTGTGGGAAAAGGTCTGGGTGCCAATTAGCCATGGCCACGGACATGGCTGGGACTAAGCAGCAGTCGCTCCTTTCCAACTATCTCGCAAACTATGCGACAGCACTGATATAACTGATAACTGCCCCCTGGCTGGCTTCCAATTGCCAAAAGCGATCGCTCTTTGTTTTTGGTTGACAAATTGTTATTACAAAATTGTTAATACTTAAGTTTGCATTGGCATACATCATCCCCAATCCTCAACAAACACACACACACGCACACACACACACACACACACATACCGTTTGCATTTTGTTGACAAATTTAGCTCACTTTCCATTTCTTTTCCTGCCTCTAAGTCTCTCTCTCTCTCTCGTCTTTTATATATCTATATCTTAAGTGTACAAATTAGTCATGCGCGCGTTTGTCTTTAAGTTATGAAAACTGATTAATTGGCCTTTTGGATTTGGCCATTGATATTCAACTTCAATGAAGGAATGAAGCTCAAAAACTATAAAGCAAAAACAAGTTGAAGGTTTGTAAATATGTACCTTACCGAATACCATAAACATATATCGTTATGAACATCATAAACTATTGTACAGAAATTCATGTAAAGCGAAAAGAGAAAAATAAAAAACATATACAAAATAAAAGTCATAAAAAACAATCAAAAATTCATATTTAATTGTGGTGAGATTTCGGCACTTGAGGCGCAGTACTTGAAGATTGAAAACCACCCATGAGATGCTGTGATGAAACGTGACCCCAGCATCCGGCACAGCTACAGCTGCGGCTGCGGCTTCGACTTCGACTTCAACTTGGGCTGCTCCTTTTACTTTCATTGGCCGCATCGCATTGCGCAAGAGCTGTTCCAGCTCCGGCCATGCTGCCATTAGATGGTCATTAAGAGGAAGATGCAACTCATAAAGTTTCGGGCCTCATGACACGCGGAAGTTGGCCTTAGATAAGCGCTGCCCCGCCGCCCGCAATGACTAAAATGGGCAAGTTTTTTTTTTTCATGATTGTTGCAATCGGCAGCAGCCCGCATCAACAGCAAGAGGCCAAGTGCCAAGAGCCAAGAGCCAAAGCCAATGCATATGAACTTGCCGCAAAGCGTTTGAAATCGCAATCGCAACTGCAACTGCAACTGCGGCTGCGACTGCGACTGTGTGCATCCGATGCTGATGCCAAATAAATCTCAAGGAAGCATCTCATCATCGGCCAGATAAGCAGCAACAATAACGCCTGACTTCCTGTTCAAGTTGAATGTTGAATGTTGAATGCGGGCTGCGGTTTAGGGTTGGGGGGCGACGCCGCAGCCTCCGTTGCTGCATTCAATTGAAGTCCAAGTCACTCGGTCGCCGCTGTTGCAACATGTTGCATTAATTGACTCGCTCGCTAACGTCTCTCTCCCTCTCCTTCTCTCTCTCTCTCTCTTTCTGTGTCTGTGTGCCAAAAACCGCTGCCGACATCAGTTAAACACGTGATCCAACCACCCCACCCACCGCCCCGCCAACAGAGCAACCAGCTGTTTGGCTTACCCAGTTGTATGCAGGTCTAGTTAGCAGCCGGCGGCGACAGCAGCCGAGGAAGCAACTTGCGGCAGTTGCTGTTGCCGTTGCCGTTACCAAAACTGGACGCCAGACACTGCCACAATTGCGACGATTAGGTAACTTTGCTACAACAACAACAACAACAACAACAAAACAACTACAGCAAAATGGAAACTTAGGCAAAAGTTCGAGTTCATGCAAACATTTAAGGGGCGCGCAACAAACGGGAGTTTTTTTTTTTCATTTATTGATGCGGCTCAGCTTTTCACAAATTCACAGATCAAGTTTTTGTTAAGCTAAACAAATTGACAACTGGGCGGAAACATTTAGTTTAAAAGGGCATCATATTTGGACAGGAAAATTAGAGTTGATTATAGGAATTGTAGCTTTTACCAATATATCTATTATTTTTGATTGGGTAAAACAGAATAAATCCAAATGGAATTATAGTAGTGTACAGCCGACGACCTGCCGGTTCAAATGATATTTATCTTTTATCAATCTTCTGCCAGGAAGTTCTAAAATATTATTTTTTAAATTATTTATCTACTGGTGTTCCAAATATTTAGTAAAAAATGAAAAATTTCAAATGATATTTATCTTTTATCTAGCTATACTATATCTTCTGCCAGGAAGTTCTCAACTATTCTTTATATTTGATATATGTGCACTGTTGTTCGTAATATTTATTAAACTAAAAATTTGAACATAACTATTTTATGCAATATACAATTTATCTAGCTGCCGGGTTCAAAATCCAGTTTAGCATCGAGTTGTTGTGTTATCTGCGTGTTATTTATCGATTTAGTTAATTTCTAACAATTATTTTGTTATCTCAGCATTCCTTTAGTTGTTGATATATAGACCAGCTTGAGTTTTTAGTTAACCGAAAGCAGTTATCATCAATTATTAGGAAACAATTGCCAGTTGGCATCTGAAGGTTCCCTTTAAGCCGCATTCGCGCCAATCAAGATGAACACAATGTCAAAGAAGCTGTGACAAGCTCTTTTTCTTTTTTTCTATCAAATCAATTTCCATAGCTCAAAACGCGCAACTGAAAAGTCCGAAGAGAAAAAAAAAAGCACGGGCGAGTTGCATTGTGAAAAGTTGCATTATGCAAAATGTAAAAATGCTTTTTTGGATTTTCGTGGCTTTGTCTCGCTTACAAATTGGTAAATGTCTTTGTTTTAATTGATGCTGTTGCCATTGTTGTTGTTGTTGTCTTGTTACCTCGAACGCAATCAAGCTGTTTGTTTTATGGTGAGCTGTAAGTGTTCGGCTTAGGCCTTAATGCGAGTGCCCCCGCCGGGTAGCCGGGTAGCTAATCTCTTGATTGTATCGCCTGCTGCTGCCTTCGCGCCGCACGCGGCGTATGCGTAATAATTTCTCTGATGGGCAACCAATCAACGGCAGCTGCAAATTGCGCACAGCTTCGCGGCGGCGTTTTATGTAATCCACGCAAGTGTCATGCGAAATTCAAATTTTTAATAGCAACAACAATAAAACGAGACAACAACAACAACAACAACAACAACAAGCAAACACTTTACGCACAAGTGAAGCAAGACGCAGTCAACAACTGCTGCTGCTGCTGCTGCTGTTGTTGTTGCTGCTGTTGTTGTTGTTGTTGTTGTTGTTTTAACTGTTGCAGCAGCAGCAGCAGCTGCATTGCACAAGCCGCACAAAAACAAAACAAACGCAAATTGAAAAGAAGTAATAAAAATAAATTTGATAAAAAAGAAAAGAAAGAAAAACGAACGAACGAAAAAAAAATGGTATATAATATATGTTATAATAAAATGAGAAATGCTTATTGTAATAAATCTTTTGTTTACACACGGGCAGCAAAAAAAAAGAAAAACAAACTCGCCTGAAATATTTATTTATTTATTTATGTTTTAAGTTAACTCGCGCCGCTGCTCAGGTTCAAGACAACAACAACAACGACAACAACAGCAGCGATGACAGCAACCGCAGTAAACAACAACAACAACAACAACAACAACAACAGTAGGCGGCACGTGAGTTGCCCGAAGTGTTGGCTGCCAAGCGTGAAGCAAAAGGTTGTTGCACGCATCAGCTGAATTTAATGCGGTTGCTGCTGCTGCTGCTGTTGCTGTTGCTGCTGCTGCCAACGCCTTGATCTCTGCCGTCATGTGGGTCATCTGTGTGCAGATGTGGAGCAGCCAGCGGCAAGGTCGCCGCCCAATTGCGCACCAGAGAAGCTGTCAATGTTTGCCAAGCGAAATGTGGCAACTAGGCAGCAGCCAGTCGCCGAATAGCGAAACGACATCGGCGAAATGGCTGCGCACACAGCGAGTGTGGCATGTGGCAAGACAGTGAAATAATAGTAATTAAAAAGGCGGCCGAGATTGCGTTGTCAAGCGACGTCGCGATTTAGTTATAGGCAGGTTATACGGCAGCTCATAAATCAGCTGTAGCTATTAATAGAGCGCGGCTGCGCCCAAAACAAAAGACTCAGGCAACAAACTTGTTTGGCTCACGCGATAAGAAACGATGTTAAAGGGGGGATTCTGCCACTGATTAACAGTTAATATAGATAGCATAGAGTAAATACGCAAAAAGCTGCTTGGCTGTGCCTTAAAATTCCAACGCACAATCTGCTGGCACTTGCCATATTGTGGCACAGCAAATATTGAAATAGATATTTTCGCGCCCAGAATCAGAAGCAAACATATTTGGCTTGAAATACCAAACCATGTTTTGCGTGCCATCAATGTTAACAGCAATGTTAATAATTGCAGATTGCGAAATGAATTTGTCAACGCTTTGCAGATAAATTCATAGCGCCCATTAATATAACATTTATTTACATTTAACGATGCTGTGAAAACACCTCGTCAAACCACTTAAATCCATCCGTGCGGCTGGCTTGTAAAATGCGAACAAAAAAAAAATACAATTGCTTTGCCCGGCTAACAATTGCACATTGTCTTGCCCCCAAAGTCTCCCCCCCCCCCTATCAGAGGGAGCTGCATAACAAAAATTACAACATGCAAATATTGAAGAAGGCAAAAAAAAAACAAATCAGTCAGTTTAAACGACAAGCGGCAAACGACAAACCAGCTACTGGCCACTGGAGCTAGGGGGAGGGTGGGAGTAGGGGGGGGAGGGGCGGGGGGCGAGTGCATGACAAAGCTGGCGTCACATATTGGCCATTTAGCGTATCAGTCGCTGCGGCTGAGAGACGGCCAACTGCTAACTGGTTAATAATAATGCAGCTCGAGGAAGTCGTAAAATGCAATTGCGCTGAAGCGCTGTAATAAATACACCGCCCCACCCCCTCTCCGCCACCACGCTGACGTCCCCTCATCTAGAGTTGGGCGACCAGAGAAATAGAGAGAGAGAATATACAGATAATAAATAAAGAGGCCAAACAACAAACAATTGTAACAAAACAATGATTGACAACAAACTAAATTTGCATTTAATGAATGAAACAGCGTGGCCATTGGGCGTCCCAACTGGCGATAGCTGCTCCAATTTGGCTAACAAATTCATTGAAACACTTTTATTTAATTGTAGATGAAAACGTGTACGTGTGTGCACAAGTACATAAATTCGTATAGTATTTATAGGGCAACATTCACTACTGACAGTAGTGAAAACTGAAATGAAGACTGAGACTATGCAGGATTTATTTGGTTATTTAAACTTATTTGTGGTCAGGATTTTAAAGAAACACACTTTCAATTTGTAGCTTGTCGTGATATTCATTAACTTGTCTCAAATGTTTTGAACTGTTTGAACTTCATACCAAGCCGTTGTTCAAATGTTTAACAATTGTTGCCTGCGCCCTGATCGAAACAGCCTTCAATTAATAAATATTTTCCAAAAATGTATATCTATTCACACAAAAAATGCATTTGCGAAAGTTGGATTGTTTAAGAAATCTGAAATGTTGTATGTTTAATAGACTTCCGCGATCTTTCCAAGTTCGAACTCTATTTATCTACCATATTAAGTATTCCAAAAAACTATTTTATCTTGATTTTTTAAAATTAAGCTACATGTTTAATATATTTAATAAAAATCCCAGCCAACGATTCCCAAATTACACATATAACTTTATTTATACCATACCTTAAATGTAGGCCCGGAACTGTAATGTAACTCAATATAATTTGTAATATTTGCAACCTGCAGCTGCTGCTTAACAGAATTCCGCAGCAGCTGCTAACAGCAACAACGAAAGTGAGCAATCGCAGACTTAACAGTCGACCTTCCTAACAGTCGTTGGTTAAGAGCAGCACAAATTTTTGTATCTGCCTGCTGCGCATTTCTGTTCGCCTGGTAAAATCAGCTGAATTTAAATCTCGTGAGCCCAGCACCACCGACCAGTGAATATATTAATGGCCGCTAGATTATCCTTAGATGTAATAAATAAAGCAGTTTTATTTATAAACATAGTTTTTTTATTAATTGTTTTTTATTTAATGTACTCTATTTATGTCTCCTAAAATTATTTCAAAACAAATATAACTTTAATAATTGTTGCTTATTTTATTTAATGTTTTGCAGATTTTAATGTTAATCTTTTTCGGCCAGATGACGTCCGATCCTGACAAGACTCGCCTTTTTGGACTCGTGAACGTCCGTAGAATTGAATTCTGCACTGCAAAAAGAAAAATATATATTTTTATATTAAAAAAAGTACAATTAGAAAACAACTTTAAATGCCCATATCTCGGCCAAATAAGGCCCGATCCCACGTAATGTAACCTCGTGCCACTTTGATCAATTTAACTATATTCTAAGAAAAATAATTTGTCATTACGTTATCTGCATTTCACAGAGTCGATAACTATTCCAGTTTATAAAGAAATATCATTCCAAGATCGGACAATAATTAAACCGAGATATAGCCTCGGACAAAATGTCTGAACTACATATTCCTGGCCGAGCAAAAAATAAAAACCGGTTCCCAGATGACCCATATATATCCTTGGTTATACCATACCATTGATGTAGTCCTGGTGAACCTAAAAGACCAACAAATCCTGGCGAAATTCGCTCGGAAATGATCCACAAATATGTATGCTTCTTCTTTCAGCCACCCGTCCTCCCTTTATGATTCCTAGATGACCCATAGATATCCTTGGATTTACCATACCATTAATAGAGTCCTGGGGAACCTATAGTTCAAAATCCCAGTAAAATTCGCTTAAAAGCTTTATTCACATTTAAATTAAGGTTTAAAAATAAACGGTTGCAAAATACCATTATAGTGGGGCTCGGCCGTTGTCTCTCATTTTAAAATCAAAATTCAGCTGAAATACCAGGCGAACAGAAATGCCTAGCAGGTAGATTCCCAGAAAAAATTTAATTTAACAGTCCACTGTTAATCTGCAGCTGTTATTTAACAGGTCGCTGTTAACCAGCTGTTACTGTTACAGTGTACTGTTAAGTAGCTGTTACTCAACAGACCACTGTTAACAACTGCTGCTGAGCGGGGCGTGAGATTTCAACGAAAATTCGGCTGAAGTACCAGGCGACCAGAAACGCCCAGCAGGCAGACGAATAAAAATTTTTTTTTGAGTGAAAAATTTCATTGCATACCCACAAGGTATCACAAATCTTAATTGCATACCCACAAGGTATCACAAATTTTAATTGCATACTTTTACTATCAGCTTTGTAAATGGGGTACTGAAAGGAAAAAATCATATCTGGACCATTAAGGGGGAAGGGGCTGTTGCAGGGGGACGGCTGAAAGAAAAAGCATTCATATGTTTTGACCATATCGGTCATTTAGGTTCATCGGGACGATTTCTTTGGTATAGAAAAATCAAATATGTATGAGTCATCTAGGAACCATCGGTTTTGATTGTCTGTTCGCCCGGGGCGTGGCAAATATGGCTAAAGAACATAAAAACAGTAAAAATAATTGTTTAAAATCTTTAAATGCACACAACTCGGCCAAGTAAAGCCCAATCCCGGGCATTTTGGGCGCGTTAAACTCGAGAATAGAATGGCAATCGATAGTCGGGATCCGTATGCGTAGAAAGAGGTATATCATTTCCAAATCGGACTGTATTTACCCGAGATATTTCAATTCTAATGATTTTTCAGAGCATCTTTTGTTAATCGCCCTCTCTGGTTTAATTCTGAAGGTACTGGTGAATAGCAGTCTCCATCTGTGGTAAATAGTTATAAGCTGAATTAATTTTACGCTGCCCAAGAGTATGTTGCTTATTTTCTATAGATAAATGTAATCTTGGACGCGAACCAGTGTTTGCTCTATGGTATTTACCAGAGATATTTCAATTCTAATGAGGATTTTTCACGGCATCTTTTGTTAATCGCCCTCTCTGGTTTAATTCTGAAGGTACTGGTGAATAGCAGTCTCCATCTGTGGTAAATAGTTATAAGCTGAATTAATTTTACGCTGCCCAAGAGTATGTTGCTTATTTTCTATAAATAAATGTAATTTTGGACGCGAACCAAACTCGCAATGATGATTTCAACCATTTTGCGCCACCTAGGGTAAGGAATAATGTGGTTCGTGTATCAAATAATAACCTGTTAGGCTAGTGACTAACGGCCCTCTATGCGAAACAAATGAAAGCTATGTTTTATTTAGATGCCCAAGAGTATGCTGAACATTTGTGGCTATTAATTTAATTTTTGAAAAAAATTGAAAAAAATCAAAGTTTAAATAAAAATCAAAAAACGTGGTATGCCAGTCGATGCCAGAGACCCGCACGAGTTCAAAAAGGTATAACTTTCCAAAATCTGACCATTTTTAGCCGAATTATCGCAAAAAAACGAAAAATCTTCAAAATTATAACGGCATTTTTTCGCGTTTTTCAAATGGCTGTATCTCGGCCAAATAAGCCCCGATCTTGGAAAGATTGGTCGCATTCGACTCGAGGTCACTGCCATTTTCAGCCAACATCGTAACTTTTGCAAAAAACATAGTCGTTCTCCTCAAATTGGACCATTTCTTAGAATGCGGATTTTTGGGTGACAATCAATAGTCGGCATCCGTACGAGCAAAAGAGGTATACCACTTCGAAATCGGACATATCGGACCCGAGATATTTCATTTTTAAATTTAATTTCAAAATTTATGCAAAACGTATTATGCAGACAGCACGAAAGTATGCAGTACTACTAAAATTCTGCTAAAAACCGCTACAAATGGCTATTTCTCGGCCAAAAAAAGGCCGAATCGGGCAGATTGGGCACGAATGTTTTTTTGGAAATGGCGATATCTCGGCTAAATAAAGCCCGATTTAGCGATATACCTCTTTCTACTCGTACGGATGCCGCCTATCGATTGCCACCAAATTCTAAAAATGACCCAAATCTGCCGTGTTTTTTGCAAAAATTACAACTTTGGCTTAAACTGGCTTTGATCACGAGCCGAACGAGACCAATCTTTCCAAGATCGGGGCGTATTTGGCCGAGATACAGCCATTTGAAAAACGCGAAAAAATGCCGCTATAATTTTGAAGATTTTTCGTTTTTTTTTTCGCAAAATCGGCGGAAAAAAAAATGGTCCGATTTTGAAAAGTTGTACCTTTTTTCGAAAAATGACTTTTTTCTGAAATCAAAAATCAAAAAAACCATTATTTCTATTTATGGGCGTCGGATGACTTAAACAACAAACTGGAATGCCACACGCTGAAACACTTTGACATTGATTGAGCCACCAGTTGACCCGAGTGGTCAAGCCGGCTGGGTTATGTTAATTAATTTCCATGCAAATTTCTTGCCTCGTTGCGCTGGCAAAGTGAATTGAACGGAAACCAATATTTTTAGCTGACTGTGTGCCATGTCGGCTTCTTCTTCTTCTACAGTTGCTGCTAAAAGCAGGCGCATTGCAATTACGCAATCAGCTTTAGCCGTTTTGCTGTTTTGCATGTGCCCGCCAATTGCCAATTGGCAAGCGTGACTGCAGCTAACTGACTGACTGACCAACTGAAAATACAACTCGAGCCAAACAGTTGAAGATGTCTGTCTGTGTATATTTACTACAATCGCCAACGCCCAGTGAGTGTGCGAATGAATGCTTCAAAATCAAAGCCATATCGAATTTGCATGAATTAATTACAGCTCGCTTAATCAAATGCCAAGTGAGTGGAGCAGCGCTTTGAAGAACCCGCATGACTGGCAAGACTGGCAAGACTGCCAAGAAGCAGTCTGGAGCATTCGATTTCCTCGTTGCCAACATGCACAACGTCATGGCCATAACGATTGCGCAATTGATTGCCAAACGGTCAACGAACGCAGCACAGAACCAGTTTCATCAGCTGCACTGAAAGATCCCACATAGCATATGATGCACTGCCTGCATTTCCGTTTGCCGTTGGCGCCCGTGCGTCTCGTTGAATTTATTTTCTTGTCAAATGAGGTGCGAGTCGCGCTTATTATGCAAATGCGTCAAGAGGGGGAGGGGGAGGGGGAGAGGGAGAGGAGGCCTGGCCCCCCTGTCATAATGGAGCCATAAACACATAATTCATGCAGTTGGCTTTGTTATTGAGCGGGACGTGATTTGAAATTTCTATGACTAGTTAATTTTATTGTGTGGGACGGCGTTTGTGTCTTAAGTCTTTTGTTGCCACAACGATTGGGGTCGCATTGAAACTGCATTCGTGTGACCTTGAGCGAGCTGCAGCTTCAAACGCAATCTGGCTGGCCTTTCGGGGAAGTTCAAGCTTGATCTTGTTGCAACCGAAGGGGAGGGAGGGAGGACGGGCGTGCAATTAAATTGCGGCAAGCTGGCCAGCCATAAAAACGCAACTGCAGCAGCAACAACTACCGCGACAAGATCTCGATTGCCTTTGGTGCGTGTACGTTTTGGACCTGTCAACTGTCTGGAAGTGGTTCGGCCAGCCGCCACGTTGGCGGCCCAAAAAGCAGCATTTGCCTATTTTGGTGGCCAAGCAGGAAGCCATGTGTCAATCGGAAGTAAAAGGCGCACGCGCAGGCTCAGGCTCAATGTATAAGGTGGCAAAGCCAAATAGCTAAAAAGTGGTTCATTGACATGCTGTGGCTATGTTAATCAGTTGGGCACGCCCCCATCTCTTAACTGTCGCCCTGAGTTATTTGCTTGGCACACGCCCACGCCAAAGCGGATTGTCCAATCTCTGCAATCTCTGCAAACTTTTGGTCATTCAAATCAGGTGCCGTGCAGGAAGTGCATGCCAAATGCTGCTCCAATTTTCCTGCCGGAACACCACACACACTCACACACACACACACACATACACACACCCTTAGACGCTTAAGCACTTAACACATTGACTGATTACTGGCCACGATAAGAGCAGCGAGTGGCCAATTCGTACGCGATGAATAAATATGAAAAATAAACAACAACAAATAGAAAGAAAACAAATCGCCATCAGACAATTTGGAATCGAAAAGTAAAAGTGGTTCAACGGCTGCTGGCGTCGGGTTTATCGTCGTCAACATTATACGCGCTGCCTGCCATCATAACACATCACATGGAGAGACATGGAGACATGGAGTAATGGAGACATGGAGACATGGAGGGAGAGCAGCTCGCGTTGACTTTGAGCCGCGAAAGGAAGCCATGAATATGGCCAGACGGCCCAATGTGGCCTCTTTGCCTCTCGCCTTCATGTTACGCATTTCATTTGCACTGAAGTCCAGTTCCAGTTCCACTTCCAGTTTCAGTTGCAATTGCAATTGCAGTCTGCGGCTTTTGGCCACTTCCTGAATCGCATGCTGCAGGGGCTGGCGGAGATTTCATTTATCTAACTTTAATGAATATTAATATAAGTTTAGTTAACGTCTGGTGCGAATCATGATGATGCTGGTGCCACTTCCTTATGGAGCAGCTGCCCGGTAAATAGATATTTACGCATTTGAGTTATTCAAGCGAATACATTGCGAGCTGGGCTAACGATCTGGGCAATAACGATGCCAAATACTATTATTTATAGGTTATATTTTGAAACTAGCCAAGCCCAACTGTTAACTAAATAAATAATTTATGAACAGCAATGAATTTCAACTACTTTCGGCAGCAGGAAACATACACACAACTATTATTATATTGTATTTAATATGAGCAAACACTTTCAATAATTTTTTGATTGATTTAACAGGCAACCAGATTGGCTTCACAATAATATTGTATATTATGCAACATGTTGCCTTTTGTTTTGGCCAAGAGAGCTGCCCACTAAGTAACGGAACCACACGCTGCCACACACGCACGCTTCCACGTGGAACTCGGACGCAGACTGGCCGAAACCGGGGGAATTGTTTGAAACTAAATCAACATGCAATTAATTTGGCTCTTGGAAATGTAGCAAGCCATTTAAAGAGCGCTGCTTCAATTGGAATTCCGGATGTTTCTCAGTTTTGTTTTGTTTTGTTTTGTTCTCAAAAACAAAAGATGCAGGAAATAAATTGCGCCATATTTAAGCGGCATTTTTCCAATGGGTTTGCTCTGGCCAAGCGTTGCCACATTGTTGCACATGCAAAAATGCAGCTGGGACAAAAACGACTTGTTGTTGTGTTTAGATCCCATTTGGCACGCAACGCAACGCGAGCGACTGCCCTTAACCGAGTTAGAGCGCCAAGTATGGCTTATAAATGACATTAAAAGCCACTAATTGATACGCTGCTGCCCAATCCAATCAATCCCAAAGGCAATCCGTTGTGTGTGGACATCAGGCGCCTCACGAACGTGACGGCCTTCGTGTCGTCATTATTGAACAAGAATTCCCAAAAGCAACAGCAACAACAAATATATACGCATTATAAAAACCCCAACCTAACTTAAGCTAAGCTAAACGAAAGATATGCGCAACGTTGCCATACAATTTGTTTTTTTGGTTTTCGTTAATTTCCCATTTCGTGCTATTAATTTGCATTGCGCCAATGTTGTTGTTGTTGCTGTTATTGTCATTTTTGGCCTTTTTTTTATTAAGATTTATAACTTTTATTGCCATAAGCTTGGCTGCGATTACAACATTTGGAGCAGCGGCTGAACCCGCTGCACCCGCCGCCTCCTTTGCGTCTTCGAGCTGCACGTCACGTCGCTCTAAACAAATGCGAATGCGCAGCACAAAAGAGAAGAGCGAATGCCGGCCCACGCTCGCTCTCTCTCTCTCTCTCTCACACACTCTCTCTATTGCAAGCTGAGCTCAGGCCGAGCGCAAGCTGAGCTTTTGCCAGGCAGCCGAAAGCTCGCTGTGTCATTGTTTACACACAAAACCGTTATCAGAATTCAAGGTCTTCGGCTTCTGCTGCGACTCGCTCTCATTTTCAATTTAGTTGGCGCTCTCATTTCGTTTTCGTTTTCTTTTTCGGCTACTTGGCGCCGGCTGCACCTGTGCGCCGTCTATTTAACCTGGCTCCCCAATCTCCAGTGCGACAGTCAGATCCACGAAAGTGGCCCAAAGAGTTGCGCGCGTTGCCCACGAAGCGAGTGGTGCCCCAAAGGAGTTGATAATTTCTCGTGCCCAAGTGAATTAGTGTTACATTTTCCCGGTCTAGGGCCAACCCCCAGCCAACGTTAAGCGGGAGCCATGAGGATCCAGCGGCATTTTATGGTAATTACCAAGTGTGTCAACAAAGTGCATAAGATAGTGTGAAATGTTGTCATTGTTGTTGTTGTTGTTGACTTGGTCTTGCCAGCCAAGTGGAACTAATGGAATACAATTTTGTCACTTTAGTGCAGTTTTATAATAGATGCGCACAATTTGTTTACCAAACTGCCAAACGGCTAACACACACAGACACACACACACAGACATATGGAAATTATGCTTCAAAGATGCGCAAAGCTACAAATTGCAAAATTTAAGTTTAGTTGCGGCTTCAAAAATTTCGAAGTGTGGAGCGTAAATAAGGCATTATGCACCAATTACTTGAGTTAATAAGCCCTATTGGATAAATACTATATGTAAGCTGGATAATTTGATTTAAAAAACAGATTTTTATATCTAGGTTTTTTATATCTAGGATGGAAATATTTGTATTCAAAATATTTGAATAGGTTTAGCGCTGGGACTAACTTTTAACTATTCAGCTTTCATAAACCATAATCTCAAGTTTCTCAAATATTAAGTGGACATTAAAAAAAAAAACAATTAATGCGTGTTAGGCTAATTTTCAAAGGCGATTTTCCCACTCGCACACTTTCCAGCCGGGTGGGCCTGTTGTCGCCTGTCAATAGCACGACATTTGAGACCCTCTCCGGTTTTCTCCTGCTCTGCACTCTGTTTTTTTTTTGTGGTCTTTTGAGGCGCATTGTCAACAATTAAAAGCGCACAAATATAGAGGCGGCGGGATGGTTTCATTAGCGCTTGCCCATGAAATGTGCATTGGAGTCGAGCTCTTTTCCCTCACGATCGATGATCCAATGGCGGGCAAACCAAACCAGTCGCGTCAGGAGCTCGCAGACGGCATCGCTGGCGACTTTCACTGCCCACCGACTGCGGAAACTGCGGCTTAGCTGCTGTGCACTCCACATGAGATATCGGTTGCAATTAGCACCCCCAGCGCCAGCGATGAGATAATTTTTTTGCTGGCGCTAATTTACATTTCATAATCGGATCGAAGTTGACAATTGATTGGGCTTATGTGCTTTAAAATTTGATAGATTAGGATTATGTGAAATACCCAGCCAAAGATGACAGCAAATTGACGCCAAATACTATGACCTCGCCAGCAGCACCAAATACGGAGCTTGGCTACACCAACGCTAAATCAAAGAGAGACAGAGACAGGCCCAAAAGCGGGCATTTGCATAATGCCAACAGACCTTTGGGCCTTGTAAAGAAAGAAATGAAATAAAAGCAGCCAAAAATGACACACAAAGATTGCCTATGCCACCCGATGGCTTTGACCTGCAGCCGGGTCAGGCTATATCAAGACGAACTGACATATTTATAACCCACCCAAAAAAAAAGACTACAAAGTGACGCAACATTTCACTCTTACTTTTTGTCTGGGCGCAGTCAATGGACTCTCAGTGCAAACAATGCGAAAAAAAAAGTTGAGCAGAATGGGACAAACAGAGTCGGCAACTGGCTGACCCAGTTAAAACCAGTTGTGGGCTTTTACGCTTCACATGAAGAATATTTAATTAATTAACATAATCGTTGCGAATTCGGCTTGATCCCTAAGCGGGCGCGTTTGTTGCCTAAGTCTTTCGTTTTTTTTTTCGGAGATGTTGACTAATATCAAATGACTTTGCTTTATTTAAAGTTGGGTTTGCTCGGCGCGCTCTCTGTCGCCACCAGAGGCAGCCATGCCAAAGCTGTGGGCGATCAGCAGGCAGCCGAGTCCCAGGTGAGCGGCAAGAGCGTGGCGCAGCAGCGCATCGGCGACGGCTTCGGCCTGGGTCTCGATCTCGGCATTGGCGAGCATGATGTGCACGAGCATCACATACACGAACACCACGAGCATCACGAGCACCACGATCCCGGCTATTGGAAGAAGAAAGTCGAGTGGAAGGAGGGCTGGAAGAAGATATGGAATCCAGCCAAGAAGCAAATCTGGAATCCATCTTGGAAGAAGGTAATTGAAGCAACTTATTAAGAATGTTCTTAAAGCCGACTTTAATCTGATTCAATCACAGATCTACAAGCCGCATTGGGTCAAGGTGCCAGGCTGGAAGGAGATTCAAGTGCCCGCCTGGAAGCAAATATGGGTGAGTTACACGACTGGAAGTTCTGTTGAGTCGGTTTTCTTATTCATGAACTGTATTTTAGGTGCCGCATTGGAAGGAGATTTTAGTGCCCGCTTGGAAGGATATTCAGGTTCCCGACTGGAAGCAGTACTGGACGCCCGAACTAGTCAAGGTAAGGTTCAACAAAAGCCCATTGTTTACAATACTTAAACCAAATTGTATTATTTGTAGGTTGGCATTCCTGGCGAAAAATACTTGGGCAAGGATCATGAGGGTTGGGAGTACACCAGTCACGATCTGTGGAAGAAGAAGGTTGTGTGGAAATCACACTGGAAAAAGATCTGGAAGCCAGCTAAAAAGCAAATCTGGGTGCCAGAGAAGAAGCTGGAATGGAAGGAGGCATGGAAACAATACTGGAAGCCAGGCAAGAAACAAATCTGGAACGACAAACTAGAGTGGAAGGAGGCCTGGAAACAAATCTGGGTGCCCGGCTGGAAGGAAATTTGGGTGCCTGGCTGGAAGAAAATCTGGAAGCCAGTTGTAATATCCGAATGGTTCCCCACACCCGATCACCATCACGACCATCACCATCATGACGTTGGCTGGGACTGGGATCGCAAAGACAAAGGCGCCACCAGTGAAAAGGATAAGGTTGTCTGGAAACGGGACGACAGCAATGCCTCGGCGTCAAAGCCAACACTACTGCAGCCAGTGGCCAGTGCAGATTTCCAGGCCAAGACGCTGGAGGCAGCCAAATCGCCGGTTGCTGCCGCCGCCACATCGCAGTCATTTAAGTTTCCGGGCGCGTAGAGCATCCACGAATATTTATACATATGTATAACATATGCCACTCGCCCAATTCCAGGCTCCTTGTAAATAGTTGTAAACCAGTCGCTAGCACGTAAGGTCCCCCCCCTCTTGATTCGGCGTACGCTTAAATTATCTCTAGACTTAAACAGCGTTTAATTAACAAATAAATAAATAAATAAATAAACTTAATTGTAGTAGTTAGTCAGTCTCTCAGGCCTAGCTGGAGTGCAGCTGCTGTTTGTCCTGTTTATCCTCCTCCGGCTGCTGCCAGGCATCCGGCGGCGGCGCGTTGGGCAGCGGCACCCATTCGTTGAGTATGGTGGGCGTCCAGACTTTCTTCCAGACGGGCTCGTAAATGCGCTTGGCGCGCCAGTACTTAACCCAGCGCGCATTCCACGTGGTCCTATTTGTCCAGAAGCCATCCAAATGCGGCTCCACTGTATCCGTATGACGCACACTGCATGTGGGGCAAACAGGAAGTGTGACTGGTAGAGTTGTAGAGTTGGGTGAAAGTCGTTTCGCCGACTGGCGATTACACAACAATCCTCAACACTTACATGGTCGTTGTCTTGCCGCCCACACTGTCATCTATGCGGAGGAGGAGAAGCAGCAACAGCGGCAACAGCAGCGGGAAAGCCAGCCCATAAATCCGGCCACAGCTGCGTTTGGCTTGGGCTGTCATCATTGTCATCCTGTCACTGTGACACCGGCTGTTAACTTGGCTGCCGCCTCTAATTGTGGACCCTTTCATGTTTCGCAATCGACTGGCAAGTTTTAAGACTCCGTCCGCTCTTAAAGTTAACTGGCCCGAAATGCTGCGGTGCCACTTATTGAAATTCATGAAGCAAACGCGCAAATGAATTGCAAATTGGCGCGGTGAAAATTGTTATAAATAACGTACGACATTATATAATGCACATAAAAGGGCATTAGTTTTGATAGTTTTCGTATTTTTAGTTTGTTTTTTTAATCGACTTTTGTTCGCTGCATTTCTTTTTATGCTTAAGGTAAGACTCTGCAAATCAAATGTGTGCCAGTAGCTTAAATGTATATATCTGTACTATATATATATCTAACTGATGTATCTGAAGAAACTGTTGCCCATAGTTAACATAGTTTTCGATTTTTTGTAGAATTCAAGCTGTATTGTCTATAGAAAACATGCAACATATAAAACTAGACACTTAAGCTAAAATTAACCTAAAACTAGAACCTACCATGCAACATAATAGTATAAATCGTGATAGCAATTCTCAATCTTTCTTATTTAAAGCCTATGTTTACCGTTTCGAGTATGCGTTATATATAGTTTTCTTTTTTTTTTGATTCTTTGTTGCAAAATAGTTAAGCTGAACGAACGTTTACCTTAGACACTTGGAATTAAGCAATTAATTAATTATAGTTAGACTTGGCCTAAGAAAAGGCGGTACAAATGTTTTGCATAAAGTGCAGTTGCTTCTTCTATATATATATATATAAATATATATGTGTGTGTGTGTATATGTAAATCGTGTTTAAAACTATGTTTTAATTAAAAATTAATATGGCACAATCAGCGCATATATATATATGAACATACATAGTTAATTAAATCGTCGAAAATGATTATGTTTTTAATGCTAATTACAAGATAAACGCATACAATTAATCAAACATTTAGGCTACAGCACAAAAAAGCATTCGAGATTTGTGGGCCAGTTGAGAAATCGGCCAAAGAGTCTAGATATAACCCATAGTTAATTATAGTTAGCTGTGACCAATATCATTTATCGTATTGTTTTTTTGTAGACTGTTGTCGGGACGAGTTTCGTGTGTTTCTGAGTGTTTCCTTTTTCGCTGTAATCCATCTTCATCTTAATCTTGTTCTCTGCTAGTCTGTCAGTCTTTTGAAATACCATTTGAAATCGTTGAATTTGCAAATTACAATTTGTTCGTTAGTTTTTGTTGTTATTTTCGGTGTGTGGGTTGTTTTTTATGGGTTGCTTGAACAAGCAGAGAGCCGCGGGAATGTTCTGTTTTGCGTGGTTTTCATCAGTTGCGTTGCAAAGTGAATTCGTGAGTAAATCAACAGCTAATTAAATCTAATTGTTGAGTACAGTTTTTCTTTTTTTATCATTTTCGTTGGTGTCCAGTCCTGCAGTCCTGCCTGTGACTCACTCGAAGGACATCAGATTGGCGGGCAATGGCTTTGGCACACGCATCGTTGCCAGCTTGCAAATGGCGTTCGTCCAGAGATGCGTCATCTGCGGACTGTCCGTGCGAAACTTGTAAACGGTGCCCAGGGTGCGGTGGTATAGCTCAAAGGTGTTCTTGTGCTTGGTATTGTCGCTGACATGGGCATACCAGCCCTCCAGGGGACACACCTTGCACGGCTCACGCTTGAAGTCGCCGCGTTCGCTGCCCTTGAACGACTTGGGCGGAAAGTACACAAGCGAATTGGCCCAGATCTGCAGCCAGTAGCGCTGCCAGGAGGCCACCGCGGGCTTCCGGCCCTCCTTCTGCACGGTCTTGCGACGCACACAGCCCTGCATGGCAGCCGCTGCCTCCGGCGACATCAGATCGCAATTGCTGCCCATGAAATCGCACAGGATGCCCTCGGCGCTCTCCAGCGAGGTGAGGTCCGCACTGGACAGTGCATCGCTGTGCTCCAGTACAGAGTCGTCGAGCAAATGATGACGCGGCTGCTGGACCGTCGGATCCAGTTCCAGATGCAAGTGATGCGGATGTCCCTCGTAGTTGTTCGGCGCGATTTTGCCAAAGATGCTGCGAAAGCACAGACGATATAGATATTTGTCGGAACAGCACGCCTTATATATATATATATATTCACAGAAGGGGCGTCATGCAGGCAGGCGTTCAAATGGGTTGAAGCAAACGGAAAGTAAAGCATCTAAGAGCGCGTGTGCGTGTGTGTGTGAGAGGGTGCGTGTGGGTGTGCGAGTGTGGGTGAGTGATGCATGTGGCAGAGATGGGCGAAACGAAATTCAATTGGCTTAATTCATACGGCTAATTTAGACCCAAAGACAAGCGTGTGTGGGGGCGTGTGTTGTGTGTTCTTATACCCATGCAGAGGAGGGCTTTAGAATTTTGTCACGCAATGTGTGACCCATTAAAGGGAACATCCCCAAACTCATAAAGCTTATATATTCATTAACAGTTTCTACAGTATATGGTAGATTCTTCTTTTCAGCGGGCAGCACATAAGATAATCGGTCAGATCTGACTATATCTTTTATGTGGTTGCCATAGGAATGAACGACCGAAAACAGAGATTTTACATGGACGACTTTTTAAGGTTATCTTGACCAAACTATATATTGATATGAATTTCGAAGGAGAATATCATATAACTCTCATAGGAACAATCGGAGAAAAATTAAGTCTTTTTATGAAACAAGAGTTTTGTCTTTAGCCAACCAAATTGTGAGCTCCATTATGCGTCCAATATACTTCATTCTATTGACATTGTCTCACAATATCAAACAGCTCCGAGTCAAACAATTTTAAGCAAAGAAAAATACCGACTAATCTATATCTGCAAGTGTATATAACATTCGGCACTCCGAAGATAAGAGTGTTGCGTGTTTACATGTGTTATTTTGATGGGTCTCGTTTATATGGAAGCATTTTAAGTTGGGTCCGTGCACACAAACTGATGATGAACTGATAAGAAAGATAAGTAAGCAGCTGATTATTCCTATTATATAGATCCTAGCTACGGGCACTCACCGGCGGCATCTGCAGCGCTTGTTCGAGATTGTGCCAATGCCCGGCGCAATCATCACAATGCAGCACTGGCACCTTTGTGCAAAATTGCGCGGCAGGCTGCTGCTGCGAATTCTAATGCGCAGCCAGTTGCAGTTACAAACAAAGAGGCACAGATACAGATACAGATACAAAGATACAGAACGAAAGCCAAAAGCAAAAAGCATAAGTGAGACATAGACCAGAGACAATAATAACAATAATAGTATTGAGTGTAAAAGTTGATATAGAGTAATGTTAACGTTTGCTCGGGACCCCCAAAGGTTCAGTCCAATTGCGCAGTGAGTTTTGTGTCGAGTGATGTTTAAGAAACGAAATCGAAAGTTGATTTTGATTATTGATTTTTTGTTGGGACAAGACACGAAATAGTGTTTTGAATGCGCGCAAAGATTTGAATGAATTAGTTGCAGTTGGGTGACTTACTTGGTGCCCAGGCTGCGGCACTTGCGATGGCCGGGCACGAACTTGGTGCCGCTGGCCATGCGCATGGAGCCTATGGTCTTGGCGGGCGACAGATTCAAACAGCCCAGCGCTGGTGTTATCGATTCCACATTAAATGACTCCTTCGAGCTGCAGGAGGACGAACTGGGTCCAGAGGGTGAGGCGGGCTCCAGGTTCAACGAGCGTCTGTTTAAATTCAATAGCAAATTAAGCTTTACTCGCGCGTTTACTAATTTCAGGCCAATTACTTGTATTGATCCTCCTCGAATATGTTCTGCAGCTCCTCAATGTAGCGTATGGAGGTCAGATACTTTTGCGTGGACTCATGCGGCTGTATGTGCTGATAATCCGACTGCTGGTAATTGGAGATGACGCGCAGTATGTTATTCATCTTGTTGCGCCGCTGATCCGGCTCCAGGCCGCCCTTGTGCGGATGCGCCAGATCGATGTAGATCAAGTCTGTCAGAAATAGGCCCAGATAGGGTATGCACGGCAGACGAAGACTCTCCAAGTACGAGCGCAAATTAGCCCAGTTATTCTGATCGCTAAATATATCGCTGAGGCGCTCAAAGGACTGTCGATCCTTCTTGGACAAACAGGCCCAGGTCTTTTTGAGACGATAAATGCTGGCGCTCTGCATAGCCGAGATAATGGCGAACAGCGAGTGCAGATTGTTCAGTTCGTGCAGCTTTTTGGCCACCTGAAAAGTAAATGGGTTTAGCATAAAGTTGACTTTGAATACACGTTGAATTTTGCACCTTAATAAAGTGTGTCATGATCTCTGCACGCTGCTTGGGCTGCTCGGCATTGAGTATTTCCTGCACCGTCCAGAAGCTGGTGTGATTGAAGCGCTTGGTAAAGGCGACAATGTTCGGTGTAGCCACATGCTTGTCCTTTTTGGTCCAGGCGCAGCTGCTCAGCTCGTCCGGCTGTATGAGTGCAAAGATGGGAAAGTCGAGCAGCGTTATCTGATTGGCCAGCACATCGGCGGGCACACGCAATGCACTCAAGATGACCGCATCCAGTTGCTTAATAGAGCCATGCGCTGGCAAACTCTGCGATTTGTTCGCTGGCGCTGCGGTTGTACTGCAAGTGCGAAATTAGATGAACCAATTAATATATATATATTTATTTGATTTGCTTGACTCTCGTGTGTGTACTCACGCTATGCTGTAGTAACAACCCGGCGAGTCCGGCGACGAGCTGAAGCTGGTCAGGCAGCCAATCGAGTTCTTGCGGCGCGTTCCCTTAATATTCAACGTCTTGCTGACGGGCAGCTGCGCCTGTGCCTGCTCCGCCTGCAGCTCCTGCTGGCTTTTGTCCTGACGCAAACAGGCCATGGTGTGTGCATTGCCATTGGAACTGCGCTGCTTCGACGGACGATGCGGTGATGCCGACTGCTGTGGCTGGCAGCGCGACTGTGTGGGCGAAGCTGTCACAAATGTCTGCCCGGCATAGCCCACATAATCAGCAGCGGGTTTTCTGCTCAGCTGTGTGTGTGTTTAATAGAAATGTGAGTCAAGGATGTGGATGGGGAAACGCACAAACCTACCTCCGAGTAGCGCAGATTATCCGTGGACAGGTCGCGCGATATTTCTGAGTAGCGCATCATAGCAAACGTCTCTGGCAAACCACGCGGCAACTAAGCTGTAAATAAGCAAATGATTTGTATTTTATAGAGTTCTATATATATATATGTGTGTGTAACGATAAATAATTTGTATTACTTCTGTTGAAACTGTGGCTTGTGCTCTGCTGCTTTGCGCTGGGCAGTCTTTATGCTTACTGAAAGCCATTTTCTGCAGCGGCTGCAACCAAAGCCACAATGCAGAACAACAATAACAAGCTACCATAATGAAACAATAACAACAACAACAACAACAATAACAACTGGTGGCTTCAGCCGTGCTGCAGCGTGTGGCACGCTTCGCTGCCCAATTTCCACAGCGGCGAGCAAACTGAGTCACGCGGCAAGCGGCACGAAGAGACCTGGATCTGGTCTTTTATGGCAGCAACGGCTACTGTTGTAGCTGTCGATTGGTTTTTTTTTTGGGGGGTGCCAATGCAACACACAACAGCAACAACAACAACAAAACACGAAGCTAATGATATGCACAGTCAGCGGAAAGTTTTGTTTTTTTTCTCTTTGGAAAAATAAAAACAAGTCACCAAAACGGTCATTGAACCGCCATAGAATACATAGAAAGAGAAACCCTACTGATGCCCTTATTGATAAAAATGTTTAATATATATATAAATACTATATAACAAGTGGGACTGGTCTAGAGTAGTCAAATGTATCCAGCAGGAGGATACCCTGTAACTCTTTACTATGAAAACTCTTTCTTAAATACATTTCACATTCATTTTCCGACCAAATCTCATTTAAATGTATTATGTCATCTGCCTGTTGCACAGTTTTCTTATAGTCCTACCTATTTTCTTGGTGCAGGGTATAAAGTAACCTTCGATATTGATATTTAACACACAGCGAGACATATTGTTGAGCAAGCTTTAATAACAAGAGACTCATGCATATGTATCTATATATCAATTTATATATAGAAATCTATAGTATGTGCATATGCTGATGCCACACATTTCTCAAAGACTGCCTGACGGCGACCCCGTCTAATTAATTTCAATTAAGTCATAATCATTCGACACAGCAAATGTTGATCAAATGCAATGACGTTCGCATTGGCGATTCGATTCGATTAGACTGCGTGCCCCAGGGAAGAAAGAAATACACATACATATTTGAAAGTATGATGCGATGCGAAAAATGGCGTGGCAAACTCAAACGAACCAGGAAAGCATATATATGATACATATATATGATACATATATATATTTATATATATATATATATATACATATATATATATAAAGAGACATAAGTCATATGACGGGCTCTTATCGATTAAAAGAGCACATGGGAAACAAATTGTTTACTTGTTCAAAGTTCCGCCTAAATTCCGGGTAAATAAGTTTGCTCCAACTAAATTTATTTATGTATTTGTTAAATGATCAATATTTTGACAGAAAGTACTCAAAACAATACTTAGACATGGTCAAAGCTAATTTATTTCAATCTTTCGCATATTCGCAAGCAATTAACGAAACTGGAACAACTTCGAGTACATACAATCAATTTTTCTTGGAGTTTACAGTCTTTTTAGAGAGTAAATAAAAGTATTAGATTCGCCTGTTAAAGGAAAAATGAGAATGTAATTCTTACAAGTTTGGTCAAAAGCTAGAAAGATGTCAAAAAGTTATGTTATTTGAAGAACTGCCCTTATTTTTATTTCGAATATTTAAATTAATGACATTTTTTTTCGAAAACTGACTTTAACTCGGGTAAAAGAAGTCTGATCTTAGAAATATATATATGTTTTTGAACTCGTGAAACTTTAGTAACAGATTTAAATAGATTTAAAATCAATAATACTAAACAATAATAATATCACCTTTGTATATATACTTTCAACGTTATCCGCTTTAACCATATATATATATATATGTTGTATATATGTTCATATATATATATTGTATATTGTACTATTGTACTATTGTATTATGTACTAAGATGTAATAGTTTATATTTTTAACGACTTAATTTAGCTGACTTGAATATCTGAAATTTCCAAAATTCTCATGACATGCTAAGCAAATTAAAAACAATCTTTAGAAAATGTCTATGCTTACAACAATTAGAAATGTAAAATATTGTAGCACATGTTTATGATTTCTGACCTTAAACCAACTTGTAAACTTTACACATGAAACATTTCCATTTGTGCATTTCCACAGGCCTTTTCCATTACAGTGTATGTGGATATAGGGAAATAAGCAAAAAAACACGCTCGCTTCAGATAAAAAGAAAAAATATATTTTTGGCAAGACAAAAGCGCAAATGAATTATATTCCAGACTGCCTCAAGTTTTCAGCAAATGGATTTTTATTGACTATTTGAACTATTACCCAAGCTAATATACAGATGCGCATATATATGCAACCGATATATATATATAAATATATATGTATAAGTAGATATACATATGGGCATATGTAATATTAGCCATAGATTTAGCGTTGTTTTGGTCTGGAGCACAATTTGCAAAGATATCAAATGCAATTAAAGCAAATTAACTGCCATCACGTGTATGTGTGTGTGTGTGTATGAGTGTGTGTGTGTGTGTGTGGGGTGTTGTTTTCTGTCTGAGTTATGAGCCTTTAAATTGTTGTAGCTGTTGTATTTACGTTTACAGGTTTCCCACGTTTTGTACCTATGAACTGTGCACTGTGTAAATATATTTTGTTATTGTTTTTCTTTGCTCTTTTGTTTAGCTTTGATCTGGCTGCCTTTAGACACGATATGTACCTAGACATAAGTGCCCATATATATATATATATATATATATAAATTTATATGCATGTATGCCATATAATTTGTATAATAACAAATTCTAGATTGATATTTTGGTCAGGGACATGAATGTGTGTAGGCGTTGCGGGCTTTGGTATTGGTGCTGGGCGCTTTTGTTTATATGGGCACTGCCCACCACGTGAGGCTGCCCACCGCCCACCGCCCACACACACACAACCGCACACACACACACACACCCGCAGACACACATACGCACAGCCCCAATAAATATGTTTATTGTTTTAACATAAATTTCGCGAGGGAAAACAAACAGAACAGCTGCAAAGTTCGCGGAAATCAAATTTGACTACCGCTTGTTTATCAGCCTGCAGCTGTATTTAAATAAAATACAAATGAAAGCAATAAATGGGGAGTTCCGCACGTTAAATACCCTCCCCTTCTGCGTTACATACCACATGAACAAATTACAATACCCTACGCAGGTTAGGGCATAACAAGTCACACCTACACAGATACATATATGCCCCCTATCAGAGGAATGTGTGTTGGCGTCTTTTAATGCCTTTGATAAATTCCGGGGCCCGTGGAATGCGCCTTTCCACACACTTACTTGGCTAGCCCCAATGCCCCCAGCTGACCCTCGGGCAGATCATTCAACAGCCCTATATCATTATGCTGCTGCTTCTTCTTCTTCGTCGCTTACAGAACAAAAATTAAGTTCTGTCGAGTCTTTTCTTCTTTTTTGTTGAAGACTTTGACACGCAACGGGCGCCGTGTAAAATTGTGTATGGCGGGCAAGGTCAGGTGGTGTCGCCAGCGTTGACAGCGATGCCATCGTCAAGTTCAATAACCGCCAGAGATTTGTTTTTAAAATGGAAATGCCCCGTTATATATACATATGTATATGTTTGTCTGTGCATAAATTAACCTTCGCCCGCTGGCAATGCGCGATTGTGAAAAGTGCATGCGCATGCATATACAGTAAACGTTGGCTATAGCCGACCGTGCGTATTTAAGCCCCCAAGGCTGGCTTGGCCATAATTCATTTTGTTATGGGAAACATATTTACTTAATCTAAGAATTTAATTTTGATGGCTCCTTGGCAAAAGTTGATACTTAAGTAATTTTGTAAAGCTTTTAAAATGTTGCCTATCGGAACAATTTCAATGATTTATAATCTGTTTTATATTGAAATTTCTGAATGTCAAATGTGAAAGAAAATAGAGACTATAACAGCTGTCCTCGCTGCAACTTAACATGTATCTGTAATGTTACTGTACTATGTTAACGAATGATCTCTACGAACTGAGAAACTGTAAGAGCCTCTAAATTTGGTATGCGGTTAACATATGCCATGAGTAACTGGAAGGAACATTCACTGTAACATAAAACAAGTGCATTCATTGAGCTGTTTTATATTTAAAATTTATGAATATCAAAAGAGAAAGAAAAAAGTAAATAAAATCAAAACAAAAGACTTGACATGTATCTGTAATGTACTAGGCGTTCCCATAATAATGAGTTACTGTATAGAATGATCTATATATATATAGAATGATCTCGACGAACTCAGAAATTGTAAGAGCTGGAGCCACTAAATTTGGTATGCCATGAGTAGCTGAAAGGAACACTCACTGTACCATGAAACAAATGCATTCATTGAGCTGCCAAATCGCGGCGTGTTGGCTTCATTGAGTTTTTAATTGAAAACAGCAGAAAGGGACTTTTGCAAAGTTATCAGCTTAATTTAAACGCATGCGATTGCAATGCAAATGCGAGTCAAGTGCAGTTAACATATGTATTTACTTACACACACACATACACGAATCTAAGCATCATTATCAGCATAATTGTGTATGTATTTAACTTCATGTACATATGTGCGTGTGCAATAAGCACTTGTAATCTCAGTCGCTGGGTAATGAGAGAAACTACAATAAAAAGAAAAAAACTGCAACAAGAAACAAAACAAAACGAACTCGAGTCGAGCTGAGCTGAGCCGCAGGAAGGCCAAGCATATAGAATAATGAGCTTGGGTCTGGGGTTTTGTTTTCTGCTGACGCGGGGCGTTTTGTAGAATTGAATACACTGTTCACAAAGCGAAGAGGGGCATATTGGTTTTGGGAAATGTCCGACTGTAAAAGAGCAGGTAGATGACAGCCAATCTTTGTTGAAGATCGAACTAACAATCCATCACAGTTTGAAAATGTCTGCCGTGGGCTTTCAGTTAGTTAAGCGGATAAAAGAGAAACGGATAATAGAGCATCGGATAAAAGAGCAGGTAGATTACAGGCAATCTCTGTTTAAGATCGAACTAATAATCCATCACCATTTGAACATCACTGCATTAGACTTTCAGTTCAGCGGCATCACCTCGCTCGCAGAATAAAGAAGAATTTATTCGAATTACAGAGTATTGCGCAGTCGAGTGCAACCGACTGCAATGTTCTTCTTGTTTTCTACGCTGTCTGTGATCCGCGCGCTGTTAAGTGGGTCAAACCTAGAAAACTAGAAATGTAACCAATACGCGTACTTTTTGAGTGCCTGTACTTATAGAAAGAGAGGGACAGGAGGAGAGAGAGAGAGAGAGAGAGAGCGAGGGAGAGCTACAGTGTTAAACAATGCAACGCATGGGAGCCTTGAAATGACAGGCTAAAACATCTGGCCTGCAATATGCTTACCATGGCCGCAACCTGGCCTGCCTCTGCCGCTGCTCTGCTCTGCGCATCCTGTTTAACAAGTAAGCGAAAACAACAGCTGGAAAATATTTCAACAAAGTGAAACTCAAATTTCGTACCCAGGGGCGTTGCTAAGCGTGTGTGTGTGTGTCTATTTGTGTATATTTTGTGTATACTATTTGTGGGTGTCTGATAACATTTGCTTATCACATGATCTATTGCTGAAGTCCTAACACCAAAGAAAGCAATGCTGAATGTTGTTCTTTTTATTCTTTTATTGATTTGCTTTGGCGATGAATCACGATCTACTTATTTGCCGGCAATATAACAAAAATTAGCCGCAGGCACAACACACCCCTAGCTAAATCGATAGCAATGAATATGAATACCGCTACTCCTACCCCTTCCCCCTACCCTTACCCGTAGCACAACTAGCTTCCCCTGTTGTCACACGCAATTTGTGTATGCCGTCAGCGACGTCGTTAATGCTTAGCATATCGTATGCAAAGTGTGGCCCTCTTAAAACACCAACCCTCCCTCCGCGCACACTTAGTCTGTTGCCCACCCAGTTTCGTAATCGGCAAGTACGCCCAAATACATTAAAAAGAGGAAAACTATTTGCACTTGATAGCGAATGCGACAATGTTGTGGGCCGCCAGACCAGAATAAAGCGCACTGCATCTCGAGACATTTATTTATAGTGCACGCCCGATGACGCCCCGAAAACTTACCTCTAAACAACAACAACAACAACAGCAGCAGCAGCAGCATCTGTACTTAGGAACCAAAGCATATTTAATTGGCACTGTGTAGCTGTAGTTATGCTTAATTATGTTTTACTCGATACCAGAGCACAGCGATAAAGCGACGGCAGCATCGACTTTCGCGCCCGTTTTTAATGCCCGCAAGACTTGAAATTGTATTTTTTTAATTAATGTTGAAATAAAAAAAACGCGCGCGGCGTACGCACATTGAATTATTATTGTCGCAATTACTGATTGGCTTCTGTCTGCAGTGTGACCAGCATGGCGAAAGCGCAGAAATAACTATGCGCTTAGTGTTGCCACCCTTACGTTTTAAGCAAGCTGGCAGCGTCATTTGAGCAAACTCAACTATGCAAGGTGTGGCAACAATACACAATGCCCGCCAAACGTGCATAAGTTTGAAATATTTACTATATACAAATAGTGAAATTAATATTAATGCATTCATTCGAATATCAATGTTTTTTTTTGGGTTAGTTTATTTTATTTTGTATGCATATTGTATAATTTGTGTTATTATGGTTATCATATAATACATAAATAAATTAAATTATATTCTTTATGCACAATATAGTTATGTATTTTTTGGGTTTCTTTCAAGATATCATACATATTTGTTTTCTGCCTTGACGTTCTTCGGAAAACACCATAAAATATATATTTCAAACTCAACATTTCGTTTGCAGTTTTTACGATTTCGTTTTTGTTTTATATTCATTCTTTTTCCGTTTTTGTAGCAAAGTACATTACCAATTGTTATTGTTGAAAACAATATAAAATAGTTTCATATAAGTATTTCAATGTGTTGATCCAACAACATGCTTAGCAGTTGGAGGTTTTTATCTTATTTTCATCTTTTCAATTGATTTTTTAATCATATTATTGTAGTTCTGTGTATATAAGTTGCATTTTTTTAAACTCGTGAGTTTTTCTGGCGTCTTCAATGTATTGTTCCGGCCGCAATTGTTTACGTTGTTTGTTTTTGTTTTTTGTTTTTTAATAAATATGTCTGTCTCATTTATATATATAACGCACAGACGTTTCGGTTTATGTTTATTTACAGCAATTGAGATGCAATTAAATGTTGCGCTAATATTTCGTTTGGGTTCTTGGGGAGGCATCTACTATTTCGCATCGTAAATTTTCCACTAATTAATAAATAAATTTCATTTGTTTGTCTTTCATTGATTTCGTTTTTGGTTTTCTCTTTTCCTCTTCTTTTTTTTTTTTTGTACAATAGACGCGTGTATTTTTGTGTGTTATCAGTCGTTTTTCATTTACTTTACATGAATGTGCTGGAAATTATTGTTAAGTTATACTTGTAAATAATTCATCTCATTCCGCTAAATCGCCTTTCCACAGATCCAATATGATAAGTACATTCATATACACATATTCATTTATCTGTATGTGTGTATCTGTGTGTGTGAGTGTATGCATGTATATGTGGGCTACCAGAATTGTTTTTCTAAATTGACACAGATAATTTAAGATCACAAAGCGTAGTACAATAAAAATGTTTTGAAAATCAATTTCGGGATTTTTCTAAGTTATTAATTTTCTTTTTAGGCTTGTATAATAAGTATGTTACAATAATTACACGCATAGGTTACATACATACATACATGCATGCATGTACGTTCATAATACATAATAATTATAATATGCCATATTATGCTTTAATTTGTTTTCTTTTTGGTTTTTCTTTGTTCCAATGCCAAATATGCAGACTTTAAAATAGTTTTCATCAATTGATTCTTGTTGCAGACACCAAAAAGTTGTTGTTGTTGTTAGTTTTGTTTTATATATTAATTACAATAAAATGTTAAATTACAATACAATATAAATAAGTACACATGTTGGATTGTATGTAAATATAATCAGTAGCATATTCAAAGGGGCAGAGGGGGAGAGGGGGATTATATGATAAATGTTTGCGCAACTTTGCTGTTTCTATTCAAAAGGGGGGCTTGTGTTATAAATGTTTGCGCAATTTTTGTGTTTCTGCTTTTGATTGACAGCGCACAGCAGGAAATCCCGCATAAGAGCTCGTCTCGCCTGCTCACAGCAGGTGGAGGATTGATTGCATGGGAGGGGGGAGGTTACATTGTATGCAGGTCTTAGATCATAGCAAATACGATTATGATACGATACGATTACATAATATGATAGGACTTACAGTTAACAGGGGGAAGATAAGAGAATTGTGCCATCAAGCAAGTTGACTCGTTTGTTGCACTCGAGTGCCTGCAGCAGCCGCGGAATTTAATTCCATGGACTTTCATTAGGAATACATCGTCTATACATGTCTCTGTCTGTATTGGTGTGCGTGTGCTTCTGTATCTGTGTGTGTGTGTGTGTGTGTGTGTCGAGTGCATCTGCTGGCCGACAAAATGGATTCAGTTCTACTTTACCAATTGCCTCAGCACCTGGGCATGCCAACAGAGATTGTGTGTGTGTGTGTGAGCGAGAGAGAGAGAGAGAGAAAAACGTTTCAGCTCCAACAATTTACTTCTTGTTCTTGCGCTTCTGCTTCTCCTCGGCGGCAGCGGCGGCTTTGGCAGCGGCCGTGGCCGCGGCATTCAACAGATTCATATTCGGCTTGACCGAGCCCTTCTTCTGCGTGGCCGGCTGCTGTGGTGTGGCCTGCGTAATGTTGTTATTGGTGGCGGTGGCGTTGGTGGCGACTGCGGTGGAGCCGGCGGCGGCGGTGGTGCTGGCGGCGGCGGTGGCATTGGCGGACTTGGTGGTGGCGGCTGCGGCGTTGGCGCCTGTGGCTGGCGTGGCCGGCGTCTCGTCGAGGAAGAGCGGATTCTTGACCTCCATTTCGCCAGTGGGCGCCAGGCCGGGACACTCATAGACGGTATAGTCGCCCTCCTCGTTGTCATCGTCGCTCTCCACATCGGACAGGCCGCAGCTGCCGTCGGTCGCCTGGCAATTCTCCATGGCAATAATCTGTTGCTTCTGGTGCTGATAGTGATACATTTGGGCGCTCTGCGCCAGCTTGCGATCGCACGACGGCGACACATCCTTATTCGGCCCGGTTATGCCATAAGCCGGATAATCAACATCTGCGGCGGCTTTGGTGCGATTGTGGAACCTGTCGAAAAAATAAAATTGTGGTGTTAAATAATGGAGGTGATCAAATAATGATATATTTTATTTCAAATGAGTTAAAGGTCTTTCAATGTCTCGAGCTCCCGTAGGGGTTTGAACCTTACCTAGCAGGAGACTGAACCAGCAACTTCTTTTTCTTTAATGTTTGTATTAGATACAAATTGATTTGGAATATTAAATATAACTAGTGAGTGCTACGCGTCGTATACGTAATATTTAAGTCTCACTCTCTCAAATAGTTTTATTGACTATAAACTTACCAGGTAACGCCTAGGGCCAGGAGGCCCACAGTTACTGCCGCACTGACGCCCGCTATGAGAGCGACAATATAGACGCCCATTTCGCTGTTCATGCCCAGTTGCTGGCGCAGCACAATGTGATCGTCGCCGGTGCTGGCCGCGTATGCCATTTGGGAGGATTTGCTTTGCTTCTGCAGCTTATCGATGAGCGCATTTATCTCGTTGGGCATCTCCTTGGAGAGGGGCAAGTTGAGGCCGGCCACAGCTGCAGCGGCCGCCGATTGGGGCTTGATGCGATGGAAGTTGGCGGTGGCCGTATCGAGCAGCTTGGGCGGCTCCACGGGCTTCGGTGCCGGCACAGCTGTGACCAGCTTGCTCGGAAGCTTGGAAGTGACCAGCTCGTTGACGGGTTCCGATGCCGGTGCCGGTGCATACTCCTCGTAATCTTCCAGAGCACCTGAGTCCAGCTCACCCGACGGATCGTTGGCGTTGTCAAAGAAGCGCTCATCGTTGGGGCCCACGGCGAAGGGTATACGTTGGCGTGTGTAGCCGGGATTATTCCGACTGTAGCCGCTGTTCGCCTCCAGACTATTGAAATTGGGCAGCGGCAGCTGCATCGGCAGCGGCGGCGGCGGACGCACAACATCGGGCACGGCATCCAGGGGACTGCCATAGGCGGCATCGCCCTCAACATTATCGTATTGATCGTACTGCTGATTGTTCAGATTGTTGTTGTCGTAATTGTTCTCCGTTTCGGCCATTAATTGGGCCTCCTGCTCCCGCTGGCGGATGCGTTCGAGTTCCAGCAGCTGCCGCTGATGCTTCTGCAGCTTCAGCTTGATCAGCTCCAGCTGCTGCTCGAACTGCTGCTGCAGTCGACGGCGAGCATGATCCTCCATGAGCTGCTCATATTGCTGCGGCTCCATGGGCGCCGGCTGTATGGGACGACGACGCAGACCTGTGCCAAAGGTGGACAAAGACAAAAGGAATGCAATTGATTAATTGAACGCAGCTCTCTCCCTCTCTCTCTCTCTCTCTCTCTCTTGGGCGTGGACAGCACTCATTATGCTAATGCCAAAGCTAATGCTAATGATGTCCGTCATGGGCGGCGGACATTGCGTGCCAGTTGCCGTTCAAAAATAAAAGCGACCAAAATAGAAAGCGACAACAACAACAAAGAAAGGAAAAAAGGTAAAGGTACTTATAACCCGCCCGAAAAAAGAAAGAAAAAAAAACAACAAATATACCACCGGAATAGACAAACAAAAGTCAATTTAATTGCCAATGCCTTAAAATAGACCAATTACTACACGCGCCAACATACACACACACACACGCAGGCACGCAAACACATAGATACAGGCTGTGACGTGCTTGGAAAAACTTTATTACATTTCTGCTGCTGCCCTGAAAAGTAGGCAATAGAAAAAGTACGCTGAGCAGCGACTGCAACGAACTCGAACTCGAACTCAAGCGGGCAGAGCCGAGGGTAAAGAGGGTATATAATGTGGATGGGCTGGGTTGGCACTAACTACACCCATACACACACACACACACACACACACACTCGTACATACGTGCACAACCAACGTCAACTGCGGGCGCTGCAGGTTTGTAGTTCTTGCAAGTGTGCGTGTGTATGTGTGTGCTTGCGTGGGTGTTTTGGTTTGATTCGTGAATATTTGATGCTCAACACACACACACACACGCATACACGCATACACACTTAGATACACATGCATATCTAGTACACAGTTATACACAAAACGAAGTGGCAAGCGGCTGCTTTCGCCTTCCAACGCCATTCACGACGCAAAAGTTAAAATGATATGCACACACACACATACATACATACTGACATTAGTTCTAAGTGTGGTAAATGTGGGTTGGTTTGTGCTATTTTTAGGCATATATACCTGGGTAAACGGACACTTCGCAGTGACCCAATATGCTGCACATGAGTAGTGCAATCAGTGCGCAGGTTATTTCCATTCGCCTGCCCATATTTCTCCAGCTTAAAATTGCTTGCACTTTCTTTTATTTATTGTATTTTTATAAAAAAGTTTATCGCTTTAATTGCCGTCTCTTTTTTTATGTTTCAATATGCAACTTTCAATTAAACACTTGGCACCTGGCTAGGAATTTGGTTACCATATGGCCGGTTAATATGGACCGTACATGCTGCTGTTGCCCTTTCACAGACTACAGAGTTTATTGATTTTCACACCAACACCAACACCAATGCGCGCACACACACACGCGCACACACACAGCAAGCGGGCAGCTGGTGGTTGTAATTGGCTCGCAAAATTCGCGTGGGCGTGCAATATTTTTCGCAATTTCCGTTAGCCAACGACAATTTTTGCCGTTCAACGCTTTTGATTTGAATACTCTTCAGGTTTCCACACCTGCACCGGCTGCCACAAATGTCAAATGTTGCACTTTTCTTTCAGATTGCAGCCAAACAGTGAGTGAAACTTGTGAGGCTGCTGCCTTTGAAAGCTGGACGTCGTTTGACTTTTGTGTTCTTGAATCGTCGACGTATACCGTTATACTGAATGAGCCTGGCGTCGACAGCAGCAGCACCAGCGTCGGCAGCAGCAGCGTCGGCAGCAACAACAGCAAAAGCAGCAATGGTAGCTGTGACGCAAATGTTATGTCCGCCCCCGCGCTGTTAAATGTTGCGGGCAGCTTTTGTGCTGGCCAACAACAAAGCGCAGCGAAGCCAGCTCAGAGCATGCGTCCTATTATCCACAAAAAGCTCGACACGTTCGCCAGCGAGTCTGTGTGTGCTTGTGTGTGTGCGCGCTGGGATTCTTTGAATAAACATTCATGCATTCATGAAAAAGCCGAAGCCAGATTCGACTTCTGGGCAGCTAGCAGGTGGCCGCTACGTAGTTACTTGCACACACACACACACACACAAGCATACACACGCGCACGCACACACGCGCACACTAGCGCATACACACTTGATGTTTGACATGTAGTCTTGTGCCTTCGTCGCCACCCCCCCCCCCCCCCCTCCCTGCAACTTTTGGTGGGCACGCGCTGAACCATTTTCGTTTGGGATAGGGCACTTTATTTTTATCAATGAATTTTCCACCGGAAAGCTTTCTATTCACAGGAATGTATAACTGCTGCGTACTTTTGATTCTGCCTATAATATAGGAAGTTGTCTATGATCCCATCTAGTTTTATCATGTTTGTAAGACTACAAATTTTAAATATTAAAAGGCTGATAACTTGCTATAACATATCAAATATCGTTTATATTCGAATATTGATAGTTGATTTTCGACTTCGATGCCTGATCTGTCAATTTAACTAAATAAAATAAATTAAACATTTCTGCACTTTCCGAAATTTTAAAAGTTTATGAGCTTATAAATCTGAGAGAACACCCCGCTTATTTCACCATCTACAAAAAAGCGCTTGATACCAAAAAAAAGTACTAAAAATGACTGAACCTTAAAAATACTGCTCTTGGTACACTTTTGTTATCGATACTCAATCGTTGTTGTTTGTGAATCATTTTTTTAGGCAAGCCACAAAGAAAAACTATAAACAAATAAAATGGCAGCAATGAAAGGTAAATATACGCAATTAATGCAATTGGAGATTTACTTATCTATCTATTTATTTACATGGCAAACTCGATGCTAACGTGCCTCTGTCTGGTTGCCACCGACAACAACAACAACAAAACTACCAACACCTGCAGCGTAAGTCGCCCACCCACTTTATGTGCGTTTTTGTACCTATTGACAACTCTCCCACTTCTTTTCAGTTTGGTTATATGCGCATTTCTCACGTGCCTGGGAATGACATTCCTAATCTTGGCCTGCGCCGTGCCCACACCCAAGATCTTCTATCCGTTCTTCGTGCTGCTCTTCTACGTGCTATCAGTGCTGCCCGTCTTCATATCAAAACGGACTACTCCCGGCAACGAAACCAATCCGAAAACAGAATTTGCGCTCTTCCTTACGGCCGGCATGGTGCTCAGTGCCTTTGCACTGCCCATTGTTCTGGCCCATTCGGCTGTCGTAAGTTGCAACAAAGTTATTATAATTGAATTGAAACTCAAGCTTTGATTTTTATTAACAGATCGGCTGGACCGCATGCTCGCTGACGCTGATAGGCAATGTTATTAACTACTCGACCATGTTCGGCTACGCCATGCGTGATGATGGCTTCGATGCGCCATATGGAGGCATGTTTTAAGTGGGAGTCAGTTTAGTTTTAAGCACCCGTCGACGATTTTTGGATGTAGCAATTTGGAAGCAGTTAGCTCCATCATAGACGACAGTCAATCTCACATTAATAAATATATTCACAAAACAATTAATTGGAATAACAATATACATAATAGTTAATAACCGTAAGCAGACGATCATTTTTCTTCATTCAGTTGAGGATTAAAAAAAGTTCGCAGATTAAATTAGTTAACTCAGCCCTTTGCTAAAGAAATAACATATTAAACAAAAATTGATTTGAAATGCAGTCGAGCTTGTTCTGCAGATGTCGTGAACTGTCGAAACTATCGATATCGATATTGATATCGATAACTATTGGTTCAGCTGCAGCAGTTCGCTCGTGAGCCAAGCAATGCCAATTGTTTTTTGAAAGTTGGTAGAAATGGAAAATCCTACTAAAAATAATTCACCCCATGAGGGCCCTTCACAGCCCTCATCAAATAAAGATAATGGGGAAGAGGATGAAGAGCAGGAATACGATGAGCAGGAGGAATGGGATCTGGAAACGGAAAGAAGCACTTCGTGGGGCGGCTTTAGTAAATACGAAGAAGATTTCTTCGAGCCACTCCCACCCGTTGTTCGCACTGCAGATGTGCCCATGCACAAATATCCTTTCAAGCTGAAGCACACCGAATCTGGGTAAATACTAATCGAGTTATACGAGAAAGAGTATCTCCAGTTGTTTTTCTCTCTCAGAAACATACTCACCGTGCATCATACGATCAAATCTGTGGAGCGGGATCTAAGGATTCGCATTGCCGCCTGCTGCTTTAATGAGATGAGCAACAAACTGGTGGTCATTGATAGACGGTAAGATTAGGCGCATATTTTTGCACGCAAAAGTTGAATCTTTGCCTCTTCCTCCACAGCGGCAACATCTACGTCTTTGACTTTGTCTGCAAACGCTATTGGCGTCTGAGCTTCAGCTTGCCCCAGGCGACATTGGTGCTGGCCTCGCCACTTCAGCGCAGCGAATATATCGTGGGCAACGATCTGGGCCATGTCCTCACCATAGATGTCGATAAGTCTACTGTGCGCCGGCGCAATGAAGTCGGCAATGCGGCCATTGATGAAATCTCTTGGGGCAATCGGCTGAAAAGTTCCAGTGCACCCAATACAGTAATGCGCTTCGGCACATCGGCTGTGCTGCTAAATTTGAGAACCCTTCAGGTGTCACATCAGCTGGAGTTTGATCAGTCGCGTTTCACGCTCAAGTTTGCCGGCTATTTGCCCAGCTCGGATCAATTCTTCACCTGCTTCACCAATGACTCCATCCATTTGTGGTCCACTCACACCCTTCAAACTGTACACATTGCACAGCCCATTAGGGCACGCGATCGCAAGCTGCGCCTGTTGCGCAGTGATAAGTCGATTCCGGAGATTGTTTTGCGTGGCGCAGACGATGAGGAAAGCGACTTGGAGGATGATCTAGCATTTGTTTGCGAGGATCAGCATTTTGCCGATGGCAAGCTGCTCAACTACAGCTTTTCACCCAATGGCAACAAGCTGTGCCTGAGCACATTGGATGGTTACCTGTTGCTGCTCAGCACTGCATCCCTCGAGATCGACAAGTTGTTTAAACTACGCGATTTCATCTTGAAGCAAATGGTCTTGCTGCCGCAGCCCAAGGAGCGCATACTCTTTGCCATCACAGCACGCGGCATGGCTATAATGCTGGACCTGGAGCACACAGATCACAAGATGATCGTACAGCGCTCCAATGCTGTCAACGTGAGCGTTAGCCGCGATGGCAAGCTGCTCAGTGTGCTAACCAAGTGTGGCGAGGTGAATGTGTGGTCTACTTGCCGGCTGTTTAATGCACTGCAGGCACAGACACACTGCATTTCAGAGCTACGTGCGGCTCTGAAGCAGCCGAAGCTGCCTGGCGCCGTAGGCTGCTCCATGAACCGTGAACTGCGTCAGCTGCTGAAGCGCGAACGTTTGGAGGCCATGCTGTGCGAGTATGGTTGTTATCCGGAAAAGTATAGATTTATTATATGGAGCACGCTGCTGGAACTGCCCTCCAATGGTGTCCAGTTCCAGTCACTGCTCAAGCTTGGCCAGCCGTCAGTTGTAAAGCAGCGCGCACGCTGCCTACATATGAGGAGCGATGCCCAAAGGCGGGCCGTAGTTAAGGTTTGGAGCTGCTTGGCGCGCTGGTGCAAGGTTTTTGGCTACACGGATTTTATGCCAGATCTGATCTTTCCCTTTGTCAAGCAAATGACCAAGAACGGCTTGGTGGTCTTTGAGCTGCTCGTGACGCTGCTGCTCAACCATTTGGAGCTCTGCTTTGAATTCCATCCGCTGCCGCCCGGCAATTATCTGGCCATGTGCGAGAATCTGCTGCAGGTCCATGATGAGCAGCTGAGCAAGTTCTATCAAGCAATGGATGTGAAGCCAAAAGACTATGCGTGGTCCATGCTAACCAATGGCTTTGCCGAGGTGCTAGAGGAGCAGCAATGGCTGGTCCTGTGGGACAATATCATCTCGGAGCCTCCATACTTCATTATATTCGTTATTGTGGCCTACAATTTGATGCAACGGGAGATCATTATGCGCCTGCCGGAGAAGTCAGCTGTGCTTTGGTTCTTTCACGAACAGAATCCCATTGATGTGGCCAAGTTAGTGTTGCGAGCCCGGAAGCTAATGAGCAAATGTCCAGCCAATGTGCACCCGAAACGCTTTATGCCACCCTTTGCGCCTATACCCAAGGGCGTGTATCCCAAGTTTCTCAAATATCCCACCGAGTGGATTGAGCAACAAGAGGAACAAACTATCGAGCTGGTCAAGCAACACCAGGAGATTGATGCGCGTACACGTAACTTGGAATTGGAGGAGCTCAAAATGATGGACCGTCTGGAGAACGGTCTCAAGCAGGAGGAGCACACGCGCCGGCTTAAGGAAATGGAGAAGCTCTACCAGGACACCATACAGCGCGAAGAGGAGCGCATTGCCTGCCACCGCAAAATGCTGCTCACGTATCAGCTGGAGGTGCGGCAGCGCAAGAGTGAGGTCATGAGCAAGCTGCAGGAGTCGGAGCAGCGACGCAAGATATTGGAAATGGAAAAGGACATCGATGAGCTGATGCATAGCGTAGAGCGCGAGCGACGTCGTCAGAATCAGGAAATGCTATTTGCCGAGGATGAGATACGCAACCAGGAAATGCAGCTGCTCGAGCAGCATTATTGCATGAATGTACCAGATGCTCCTCTTGCTCAGAAATACTGCGATAACATACAAAAAATGCGCCAGGAAAGGGATAAGTTACAGCAACATCTGCGGCAGGTAAGCGAAATATCAGTGTAAATAGATG